AAATTCCAGCCAGAAAAAAGGCTCCCGAAAATTCTAGGTGACCTTTTTAGGTTAAAAATTCGTTAAAAATGGGCAATAATACCATTTTGTAGATGTTCGAAAATCCTAGGAGAGACAGACAAGCAAGAAATTTTACAACAAATGTTCCGAAAATTCTAGATCTCAAATCGTCTTCCGAACAGATATTTTCCGAAAATTGACGTTGGGTGCCCCTGGAATTCCCAAGGAAAGGAAGTAAAAATTAATTGTTCTTATACCTTTAATACAGATGTCGTTCACGACAATCTATTCCCGACTTTGCATGTGGTAAATGGCTGATTCAGTGGCTAATCAATTGATTATTGGCCGATTTGTTCATTATTTTTCGTGAGTTCGTGTATCTGTTCGCTCAATCTTTTCCGTTTTAATATTTTTTCGTCCCTTTTCTCCCTCATTTATTGATGAATGTCTACATCATCCAACTAGATATCCACCCATCCATTCATTCACTCCATCCGTAGGCATGCACCTACTTACCCACAGTTTATTATTTATCGTTTTTGCATTCATAAAAATGAATTTCTTGGGTCAATCATTGGCTTATATTCTCTCATGCATGCCATGTATGAGAGAATATAAGCCAATGAGACGGTCTCCTAGCTCTTCTGCTTGCTTACACACAGTTATTAATTCCTCCTTGGTCTAGAGTTATGTGGAGCAATACAGTCACATAGTACCTCAACTAACTGAATTTCGGTCGATTCGTTTAAGTTTTTACAGGAGAAGTGAGGAAAGGGATTCTAACAGACGATGAACTAGAAGATCTGTCGGAAAAAATCCCTGACCATTGGAAGAAGCTTGGGCGTCGGCTAACCTTCGATAAAGCAGAGTTGAAAACATTTGACAAAGACAATGACAAAATTGCCGATAAAGCTTACGCCATGTTGATGGCCTGGAAAGAAAGAGAGGGCTCAGCTGCTACTTACCGTGTTCTGAACAAAGCGCTGTGTGACATACGCGTGAAACGTAGAGATTTAGCACAACAATTTTGTTGCTACTGACTGACTGATTAGATTTTTTACTATTTCCTATGCACTGAATTGACGTTAATCTACTTCTTACCTTTAATCGTTTGAATACATGTATCTTTTTCTTTTATATTAGTGTACCAAGTTAAGGGTATTTATGTTGTAGCCGGTTATACATGTACATGTTGTAGTTTAATTTTATACTTGGTTTAAGTTTAAGTTTTCTTTTCTTTCGTTTTTGGTACGGTAATGTATGACAATGAGTTTGAAACGAAAGAAAAGAAAAGTCAAACCAAGGATAAAATTGAAGAATAACATATACGTGGATATAAGTCAGAATATACAGAGAGGTCGGATAAGACACTCCACCCTCTCCTCTTGAGGTTTTGGTCATCAAAGTTCTACTTTCGTATACTTTGAGTCAGGTCTGTGAGTTGTGCCCGCTATTAGTTACAGTGAGACAAGCACTTAAATTCAGTTACTATATCTCACATTCTTATTCTAATGTTTAATGTAAATATGTCTCTTCACAAAAAAGAAAAAAATTTCTTAATATTATTGTTCTATACACAGACACTCCACTCTCAAAACTGAAAAAATTGTTATTCTCTCTACTCGTAATTCTAAACGTGTAGTTGTTAAGTGTTTCAGGGAAACTGATAGGTGTACAGTATTAGTTTTATAAATTTTATTTATTTTATTTATATCTGTTTTTAACATATGTATAGGTATTTTGATATTTTATGTATATACTTTAATTTTCTCATAGATTCCTTTTAATTTTGCTACATGTACAGGGCATCTTGTTTACATCAACGTTTTTTTTTTTTTAAATAAAGTACTGTATTTATTATATTAAATCGAACGTGCGTGATAGGAAACTGTTCCACACCAGTCCATAAACGTTCAATATGAATACCTTGATTGAAAAGGGATAAAATAAGGACTGATACTTGCCTCTTTGTGGACTGGAAAAGTTCTAGGCGCAAAGTATTTTGGCCACATATGCAAAATTTGAAGGGGACAGTGGGTGAAGAATTTGAACATGGAAAGTAAAATTCTTTGCCCCCGACATCTTTTAGGAGCCTCAGCTTCGATTTTTATGATTGCAGTTATCTGCCATAAGTTCGTCATTGTCTATAAACCAATGCGCACGGAAACAGGTTTGGCTAAATGTCTCAATCTAATTTTTTTTTTAAAACTTTTTTCTTTCATGTTGTGTTTTTTTTTTTCCTTTGGTTGTTATCCGGAGACAAAAAAGCAATTCCTGAGATTGGTTGGGTTTTTAATGTTGTCAGGTAGCAACCTGTTTACAATCAAATCTCTCCTAGACACCTGGAGGGCCCGTTTCCTCGAAAGATGATTAAGTTTAACCCAGAATTAAGCCAAATCTTAAGCAAGGTTTTCGTGTCTAAGAACATGCGCCTTTTAGGAACTGGGCCCTGGCTAAAAGAAGGACCCTTCGAAATGGTACCTGCCTTTCTTTACTTCTTTTAGTTTACTCTCACGAAGTAAAGGCATCACTCTAAGACGCACACATAAGTACCTGTCCCATGAATACCCTTCGAGAGAGTTGAATCTCTATATCTTCAGACTTAATATTACTANTTAATTGCTGTTATCGATTTTTTTAGTGGGGGCGGGGGGAGACGGGAAGGAGATTGCTAGCTTTCGTGTCGTTTGCCTGGGGTTCAGTGTACCGTTTTCCCTTTGTTTTCTTTGTTGCTTTGTTAAGGAACAGAGAATGGTTTAACACGATGACTGGAATTTGGGGTTTGCTTATTCCGGTTCCAGACATCCGTCCCCAAAACAACTAGGTTAAACTTACCCTGTCCAAGGTCTATATGAAATGTGCGTGACTAGAGGTTAGGTTCGCGTGACTATTCCAGCCACGGAAGACTAAGTACTTCCGGCTTTCTTTTGGCCAGCGGTGCAATCAAAGATGGCGTCCGCTTTGGTGGAAAGCCCATCTGAACTAAATCAACTTTTTAGGGACATATCCTCGAAGTTTTCTCCAGCTGAATCAGAGGATGTTGTGAAGTCTTCAAAACGAATTTATGGAGAGCAATTTAAATCGCTGGGAAATCAAGATTTGTTGTCATGTTTGGATCGTTTGTGTAAGTTCGGTTATGTCTCGAGTAAAAAACTGACTCTAATCAAGGAGTTCATTGCTACAAGATCAAACAATGAGCATGACATTAACAAAAGAGTTGAAGACTTTGAGACCTCCCACCCATCACAGCCTGAGCCGCAAAAGGAATTACACGGAAGAATTGAGGAGTTCAAGGAGATTACGGAAAAACTTAAAATGAAGCCTTTTGTTGTTAATTTGTATGGATCCGCTGGAGTGGGAAAGACAACTCTTGCTAGGAACATTTGTGATAAATGGGGTGGTGAGAAATATGTCTTTGATTTAAGAGAAGCTAAAGATATGACGGCAGTTTATCTGAACATTATGGGTAAACTTGACCTAAGCATCCCCGTCAATCGTTTAGATATGGGTACTGTTGTTGGAAGAATTCATGACCTGTTGAAAGTGACAAGCAAAGGTCCTCCTATTCTTTTACTTCTTGACAATGTGGATCAGTTCACTGAAGGAAAGGGAAAGGAGGGAAAGAACTTAAGAACACAGTTTTTATACTTTCTGCGAAAGCTGTCAGAGTTTGATGGTGAGAAAGGTTCATTACACGTGCTTCTGACTTCAAGGACTCAGCTGAATAATTCAGAGAAGGTGTCTGATTTTAAGTTGCAACCTCTTACAAATAATTTTTCAGAGAAAATCTTGCTACCTACAGAAACATTTCATGTTGAGGCACAGCAGAAGAAGAAGCTTCTTGACATCTGCAAAGGAGTTCCATTGCTATTGAAAGGAACAGCTGCAATTTTGAAACAAAGGAGAAAATCTCCCAGTGATCTTATTGATGAGATAGAAATGAACTCTAAAGAGGAAGCTGGAGTTCCTTTGAAATTAAAATATGAAGAGGATAGAGAAGAAAGACCTTTTAATTCAGAAGAAGAAGGCGTTGATGATGAGCAAATATCAGTGATCAGAGAAATGTTCTATACTTTACCATCTGACACTTTGAGGGTTTCTGCTGTATCAGTATCCTTGTTTCATGGGCCCTTCACTGCTTCCACTGCTGCTAAAATTCTTGGTGTTAGCATGTCAGAAGCAGTGGCACAGCTTGAAGGACTAGTAACCAATGAAATTATTCATGTAGTTGACGAAGATGCCAAGCAGTTGATGTATGACATTCATCCACTTTTAAGAAAGTATGCTAAAAGCATTAAAAATGATGCCATGTTCTATGAATCTTACACTGAAGCGAAGGGCCGATTTTATGAGCACTTTATGTCAAAGATGAAACGAATTGCTGGATTTATAGAGTCTAGCTACATCAGAGCATTCAATGAGTTTAAAAGAGATCGTCCAAACTTTGAGTTTGCAATTGACATCTCTTTGTCACCAGAGTACTTCAGTGTTCCAGGTGGATACCATGAAAGTGCATTGATTGTTTCCCTTTTTAATGCCATGTTGTCCGGAAAGAAGCAGACTGAGCTGTTCCATAGAATGGCAGAAATGTGCAAAGATGATGGAAACTTAGGTATGTTTTTCTTTTCATTATTTTATTACAAAGAAATGACGAAAATCCCTGCATAACTTTTTAACTAGTTGTCTCAAATTATTTTCTAGCATTTTATTTTCATCCTAAATACTGCAGTGAAAAATTTCAGAATTCCGTCATCAAAGCAAATGCTCTCTTGTCAGTGAATTTCTCACAGTAGTTTCACAGGTTACCTTGACAATATTACAACCCATTTATTTAAACAAAATGGCCCTTTCCATTCCATGTAACTGGCATTTGGAACTTACCAAGACCAACCAACACCAGTACCACTGGCCTTACCACTACTTCTACCAATACCACTTCCGCCACCTTTACCAGCAGCATTACCACTACCACTACCCAGTGTTGTCCCTAAATTTTACCTCAGCAGGTAAGGGCCCAGTTTTGGCCAGTAAGGCAAAAAATGTGCACCAGAGGCACACTTTCTTGGGGAGGGAAGGGGGGAAGGGGGGGTAGTCGAGTGAGGGACATGGCCTCACTCTCACTGGGAAATTTTGGAACTAAGTTTCCTCAAACATCGTTCCCTCATATTAAGACCTATTTTATGCAAATCTGCGGTTGTTATCTTAAGAGGACAAAAAACGATTGATTCCAATAATTTTACTGTGTCTTCAACGTCCTCTTTGCAAAATGCGTGGCCCATAAAACAAAAAGCTGTGTATACATTAGTACTTTCCCATATACAGCTATTTCGAGAAAGGTTGTCAGACAAAATGTGCACACGACAATCCCGAAGGTATTATGGGGTATGATCAATAGACTGTTCCTGACACTATAGCTGTCAAACCTACTCTTGTTGCTTTTCTATAGCACTCGAAACATACATTCATGGCCTTTTGTGCCATTCTTCTAGATTTCTTTAAAGAACAGTGAACTTAAATCCACCCACAATACCTTTCAGGATTGTTGCGTGCACTTTTTCCAACAAGGTTTTTCAAAAAAGCTGTATATTTATTCATTGTCCTTGTGAGAATTGGATCAGATCTCAACTTCCCTTCTTATAATCTACTTTTTTAAATTTTAGTGAACCTTCAAGTTGTTGTAGTCGGTAAGAAGTGCTGCCTCAGGTGGTAAATTTTACCAGTTACTGCCTGTTAAAGAGAACACTGACTACCACTACCACTACCACAACCACTACCACTACTACCACCTTCATTACCACTACCACTACCACCACCACTACCAGTACCATCATTACCTGCACCTTCACTACCACTGCCACTACCACTACCACTACCACCACCAATACCACTTGGTTTGTAATTAATTTTAGAAATGAGCATTATTTTTATGTAATACTATAAAATGTTATGGTGGTACAAATAAAGCATTCTACTACAACTACTAGCATCTCCACTTCCACCACCACTACTAGTACCGCTACAACCACCACCACTACGACCAATACCACAACCACCACCACTACTACCACCACCACTACTACTTCCTCTACTACTATTACTACAACTATTGCCACCACAACCACCATTACCAGTACTATTACCAATGCTACTACCAGTACCATAACCACAGCCACTATTACTGCCACTGCCAATATTGCACCAGAGTACCCCAGTCATCACCACTACTGCTTTTGCCACCACTATGTAACACAGCGTTATGTTACTAACACTGCCATTTTCTCTAGCGCTCTGACAGTTGAGGTATATTTACAAAGAGAATCAAATAGACTCAACGTGCCAAAGTTTACGATTGTTGCAAATGTAATGTGCGCCTTTTGCAGGTTCTTTATTTCGCTCTCAGTTACGATGTTGGGAAGCCAGGCTGGTCTCAGAATCTCAGGGTGCTCAGAAAGCTTTTGAAGTGTTGGAAAAGGCATCCACGTCATTAAAACAAGTTGATGACAAATCTACCGAATCTTTCAAGCTGACCCAAGGGCTCTACTTGTATAGTCAGGGAGAAATCTACTACCAAAACAGAGACTACCAGAAAGCGATTAAATGTTTAGAGTCCTCTGTAGACCTCATGGAGGGTCCGTTAAAACTTGACACCAATCTTGCCAGGTGTTATAACGCTCTAGGCAATTGTTATTACGGACTTGGCAGACCGCAGAAAGCTCTTGAGTTCTACAACAAGGCACTTAAAATGCGAGAAGAATTATCCGGCTCTGATTATCACTACGACATGCCCGTTTACAAGAATCAGATTGGCACAGTTCATGAGGACAAAGGAGAGTATGAAGAGGCAGTGAAATGCTACAAAGATGCTCTTGAACTTTTAGAAGAGCTCAAATGTTTGGGATATGAAGATGAAGCACTGTTTCGTAGAAATCTCGCCAATGTTTACGTTCGCCAAGAAAAGTACAAAGAAGCCGAAGAGGAGGCAGAGAAGGCGTTTAAAATCAGACATAAAATTCTTGGAAATCACCCGGATACTGTGCGAAGCATTTTTCAACTGGGAGTTATTCAAGCAAAGTTAGAGACTTATGACAAAGCCTTGGACTTTTTCTTGAAAGCTTGGAAAATGGAGAAATTATTGGGTGCTGGGAACCAAAGTGCGGTTTGGAGAAAAATTATCAAAGGCGTCTTTGATATGCATAAATTCCTAAAGAAGAAAGGTGCCGAAAAAGAAAAAGAAGAGTTTAGGCAAGACGCTTTGGCGTTCTGTGAGCGTTTCTGGAAAGAAGAGAAAGCTTCTCCACAGTTTAACTTTACTCCTTACAATAAGGAGATTATTGATGTCATACTATATCTACTGGAGAAAAGAACCAGTATGTTTGGATTGACAGATAACAAAGAAAAAGCTCTCATAGACAAGTACGAAAGAGAAGCTCTTTTGTTCTATGATGGAATGCAAGGAATTACCGAGGAAAGCTTTAACAATGAATTTGACGGGGCCACAGACAATAAACTGCTTAATGAACTGCTGAGAGAGCGAACTGCCTTCTTGGACAAGTTAATTGAATTCTGTAGTCGGCACGATAAGCATGAAAAACTTCGTAAGCACAAACAGGGGAAGATGGCGCTGTTTAAGAAAGTCCTTGTCAGGTCTGACTTTGTTGGCGAGAAGACACAGGAGAAATCAACGCTGAGGAAAGTCGTAGAAGATTTGTATGAAGACTTCGGAGAGAAAGGAAGTATTAAAGGTTTTCGAGAAAACCTCTTCACAACCTGGCAAAGGCAGTGGGAAGAAGGAAAAGGCAAAGAGGAGTCAAGAGAAAAGTTGTTGGCCAGATGGAGAATAATCAATGGCATACTTAAGCTCTGCCAAGAACTTGAAATGAAAGATCTTCGTAAGAGATACGGAAAAGAAGCTTTGAGCTTTGGTGCTAGATTGTTAGAAAGTCCGCGCAGTGAAATGAAGAATGTTGAGATTAAGGGATTGCTGAGTGAGTTGAAAAAGGTGGCCTGGTCGATTGGAGATCGTAACAGAAAGAATGCATACCGCGATGCCTTACAGGTAAATATGTTTAGTAATGCAGCAAGTATTAGTGTTTCCTAGATGAACTTGCACCTTTAACCGATCCAGTGTTTTGATTTGCGGATGTACAAGGTTTTACTTCATTTTTTGTTTAGAATAAATCATATATGTTTTGTTCGTGGCCGTAGGTCTTGGAGGCCGTCGAGATGAACATACCTCCAGACCTACTGTAACACTATCATGGTTCTGGTAGGATAGTGAAAGGCAAAATTGGAAAGTTTCTGAAAAAATTGCATTATGACACTTTTGGCAAAAAGGAGGTCAGAAACGTTAAACTTAGAAAGTGGTGAAAGCAACAACAAAAGTTTAGCGCCCGTTTGCTGCTTGAAATAAGTCTGTTACATTGTTTTAAGGCCGTGTGCGTCAATGCTTCATAACTCGACATTTATCTGTTTTGCTTGACGTACTTTTGTTAGGCTTTGAAGAAGGAAAAGGAAGCAGGTCCGGGGCTAATTCAAAAAGGTAGCGTATGTCATATTTTTCCTTTTTTGAAAAACCAAATGCGAGAAACGTGGGCAAAAATGGTCTGTATGAGAGAAGTTGTTTTGCTTACTTTACCTGTAGCTGTTGTTCTTTTTTGACGTTCGCCAAACAGTTGTCGTCGTGTTACTTTTTTATTAAGCGCAAACACTGCTTTTCGTTTTGATATTCGTAGACGGTTTTTGTTTAAAGGAAGCTAGGTACTTGATGTCACTCCCATAATTTTAAATATTATATTTGCAATAGTTAAGGCCTTGTTTTATCCTAGTCATTCAAGCGTTGACCCCGCAAGTCCTTGGAGCAGAGAAAAAACCTTCACCCGAACAAACCCCTAAGAGTGGTAGTGAAGAGGAAGAGGAATTTGAAGCTGATGAAGACGTTGAAGCGATATCTTCAGGAGCCACTCAGGTAGAAGAATCTGAGGCAGTGGCCACAGAAGTGCCAGGGGAAGTTTTGGAGGTAGTGTCTGAAGAAGAGGTTGAAGTTGGGTCTGAGGACGACACTGAAGTAGAAGGTGGTTATGTGGCTGTATTCGAGTAAGTATCATTTTTGCACTCAACAATTTATTCGTCGAGTCGACAATAATTATTTAAACTTATTTTCCCACTCGTATCAAGTCGATAGAATTGAACATGATTACTAACCGCTCGGTCACACTGCCTCCCTTAAAAATGTTGTCGTTATGAGAAAAAAAGGTAAAGAAAGAAAGAAAGAAAAGAGGACGCACACTCACCAGCCGCTAGCAGGTGCAGTTGAACCTTCCACAACGACCACCTTGGGGACAGAAGAACGTTTTAGTTGTGGAGAGGTGGCCGTTATGGGGTGAAAAATTTATTTTAGAGAGTACTGTACTAAGTTCATGCTTACTTTATCCCATAATGGTAATCCAATCATATATAATATACAGAAGTAAAATACACAAAAAACTTCAATAATGTTTTGAATCAAAATTTTAACGCGACAATCAATCGACGAGGTTCCCAACATTTGGTATAAGTATCGTAGACAATTAATATTTATGCTTACTGCAGCAGTAAAAATGGAACACAATCAAAATACAATCGCCGCGATTAATCATGCAACGCGCCATAGGGATCAAATTTCATAATCATTCTGGACTTTTTTATCAGTCGCTGAAAAAAACTGGCCTTTGTCGAGAGATTATCTTGGCAGTTGGGGACAGGCTTTAGTGGCCATTGCCGTTATAGAGAGGTTTAAACAAGGTATGTACTGTAGATACTGTCCACCGGAACAAAAAAGTGACCGTTAGTGGATGTTAGACTGTGTCATGAAGTCTCTAAACGTCGCAATCTAGCCTATAACGTACATGGGCCCCGTCACTATTTAGTGTCCTGTCCATTCAGTGTTTTTTCCAGTAGACGACGTATTGAAACCAACCAACTGCTGACACTCTAATTGATTACAGAGGAACAGTAACAAGTGAAGGTACCAACTGGGCCGTTAAACAAGGGGGTGTTCTCGTGGTGTTCCCTCGTGATGCTGTGTCTGAGCCTACGCCATTAGTGGTCCACAGGTGGAAGTACAGTGCCTGTTCACCCCCTTTGCAGGAGCATGAGGCCATTACTAGCAACGTTATTGGACTATCTTCTATCAGTGGCCAAGGTCAGAAATTTAACACCAAGGTAAAGTTGTCGCTATCTCACAGTGCGCCTGACCTACCTGGCTATGAGCTGGTGATAAAAAGGCTGATTGACAAGGAGAATAATGAATGGGAAGATCTGGATGAAACCAGGAACGTGCGGTGTCGACAAGGTATAAAAATCTTTACTAAAGACTGAATCATACAATTCTAGAGCTCTGATTGGCTTAGCCATCATGGTATACGAGCCACTATACCATGCTCTCCAAATATGGTAAGTGTACGCGATTGCTAAAAATTAAGAACAAGCTGAACATCGGTTGTTTTTATAAATAAAGTCGGAAAGAATTCTCGATATTTTGTGGGCGTTTTTGATAAAACAATTATTCCACTCGCGCTTATTGGATATGAGATGATTGTAGCGAACTCCTCGTTGGCTATGTACCATTTCATATCCAACGCATACTCGTGGAATAATTGTTGAATTTCATAAACGCATATAAAAGTTTCCTGAGCTTCAATGGGAAGAGGGAGGGGGAAAAACCAAAGTTAAATTTTCATGAACATCTGATTGTCATTACAGAGGTCGAAGACGATTACCCTTCAGACATGGAAATACCGGACTTTTTCTTTCCTGTTGCTCACGCTGACATCACTGAGTGCTCAACATACGCAGTTGTTTGTCGTCTGAAGGCTTCTCCAACTTACACCATCACATCCAAAGGCGGCTCATTCAGCCATCCTGACTATCCAGGCGTGACAGTTACAATCCCTGAGAATGCTGTTGCTCCTAACGCAGAGTTGCCTTTGGAGTTAAAGGTACGTTTGATTTAGTCTTTTTACTTTCTCAAGTTGCAAAGCTGTAATGAAGAAGTAATGTAGGGACCAAATCAGCGACGAGGCTTATGAAAGTTAACTGATTTCTGAAGGAGGACAACCTAAGGTGTGGTATTGCTGGGCCAAGTGACTGACCAAATTATGCCCAAGTGGATGAGATCTTTACCACGTGAGTTGGTTTTTCGTGTTAGGGCCACGTCACTTTCGGACTTTGAAAGAATATATTTGAATTGACTGCTGGCAGATAGTAAGGACCTTACGAAAATACAACGGCGACGGCAACGGATAAGGCAGTAAGTTTAATCAGCAACACAACATCTCTGCACGTTCATCACGCTTTTTTGTACATTTCTTTTCCGTCCTTGCACAACTACAACGTGAAATGACCAAATTTTGAGTTGACTACTATCTCTCCGGCTGAACTCGCACGCGGTCCCCTCTCTTCAGTTCCAAACTAACTTCCCTACTTTCAAGTAACTGGGTGACTTTGTATAAGGGCAAGAAAGTTTCAAAGGACGCGAAGTCTATTTTTCAGCGACGTTTTCATTGGCGTCGCTGTTGTCAAATGGTGAGGTCCCTAGTGATTATTAGGCAACGGGGAAAAAAATCGCTTAAAAAGTGACTTCGCGATCTATGAACTCTCCTGGAGTTGAATTCTTAAGAAAAATATCCAAGTTTAAAAAATGTAAGAGAGATTCGTCGCCGTATGTTCACGTGGTCGAAAAAACATGAAATTAGGCAATTCCCGCCGTAGTCCTGCAGCGACGGCAAAGAATCCTACAAAAAAGCATGATGCACGTGCAAAGTTGTTGTTTTGCCAATGTAAACCTAATGCTTTTTTGCCGTTCTCGTTAACGTCGCTGTCGTCGTTTCTTAAGCTCCAAATTGTTTCTAACGGAACAGGTACAAGAAGTTCCAAATGAAGAATTTGAAGGAGGACAATTGGTTCCTGGGCCTGTTCTGCGCATCAGCTGTTCTGAAGCTCTTCAGTTCATAAAACCTGTCATCATTCAATTACCAATTTCTCTTCGTGAGCAACAAGTCTTGACTCAAGTTCCCACAACGTGTCGCGTCAGAGTATTGTTTCTGAAGTCTGATGATGGACCAAAAAAATGGATCGAAATCACTGATGATCTTGTGAAACCCGCAAGTTTTGATGGGAAGTTTGTAAATATCTACGTGGAACGATTTTCTGGGTAAGACAAGATGGAAGGGAGGTAAATCGTTGGAAGACCTCAGATAACAATGACCTCAACCAGGCTGGCGTCCAGCGGTTTTAGTGAAAACAAGGGTTTGGGCGGGGAGCTCAGTCTCGTGGGCTCATAAAACCTGGTCTTGGTCATTCTTATTTAAGGATTTTCTAAATAGCTGGTCGCACTACCTGAAGTAACTGTCAGCTCTCTACTCATCTCTGTTATTAAATTAAGAAAGTTTCACTTTGCTAGAAGCGAAAAGGTATTAGAAATAAATTGTTGTGGGTCATGTGATCAACCTTGGTGGTTTTTATTCGTGTTAAAGTATGTGTGGTGGAACTGGCCTGTGATAATGTTTTTACTTACTGTCACCATTTCTGTGGTGGCTACTACAACACGCTAGCTCTTCTTTCTATTAGCTCCAAGTCTTTCTATTATGATCAGGAACGGTATGCTGCATAACAGGCATTATCAAGCGAGTTCGACGAGAAAATTAGACCGAGAGCGATAAAGAGGGACTCTGTCCCTTGCCCATTGTTTTTTTTTGCTCTCCCTCCAACTTTTGCGCAATAACTCGAGTGGAAATGTTTGCTACGAAGGCTATTAAATTTTGTTCCATTGTTATGGTGATTTGGGCGCATTTTTCTCCTCTGGCATTTGAAGAATCCTTATCAACCAGTTTCACTCCAATACCTTTTTTTCTCTTTATTTTAGGTATTTTCCTCTTCTTGATTTGGCTTTCTGCAGTGCTGTTGAAGTAGGAGTTAAAAGTTTCCTTACACACCTTATAAAGAGTCCGCCCAGACCAGCAGACTTCGTCGCTTACTTTTGTCAGGATATTCCAAACATTTTGTATCTTATTTGCTGCCCTTCTCACCTGACAGGACAGGTGATAGGCGATCTTAAAGAAAATAACATAACGCCTTTTTCCGGAAGTTCGGACATAGACATGATTCCCGGGTATCACAGAGCATTTGTACATTTATCAGAGGGAATATGCCCATCTAATGAGGAAGACTTGAAGAATCTTTATCTCATGTAAGTATACATGTATATAAAAACCATATTGCGTACAACTTAAGAATGAGGAGAAAGCCCTTGGTCAAACTATCGACCAGCGTTGGATATCACCATTCAGAATCGGTCAACCGTTTGTACCTCATGTCGGATGATGTCCAAAATTGTTCCCCCTCTCTGCATCAGTGCTCTGTTTTACGAAAATTTGAAACTGCTTAAAGCTACACGGAAAAAAGAAGTCGAAAGAACGATTTGAGGTCACACCTGCGAATGGAACTCGAAACCTCCTACACAGAAGGCGCGCCCTAACAAACTGTGCTAATCCTTTTTCTCCTCTGTATTTTTAAATGTTGTGAGCCTTAAGGCTTCTCTTGTGTATAGGGTTACTTAGCGTAATCCTCTATTAAGTCTCCCGGAGGGCTTATTTTTTTCAAGCACTTTTGAGGGCGGGGGGGGGGGGGGGGTTGTGGTCGGTGGTGTATTTGTGGTGTGTGATGGGGTGGGCGGGAGGGGCGTGGGGTGTGGTGGGGGTGGTAGGTGTTGGGGGTGGGGGCGGGGGTGGGGGGGGGGGGTGGGTGGTTGTAAGGGGGGGGGGGGGTTTAAAAGGGAGGGGAAAGAGGGGGGGGCTTATTTAATTTAGCGAAATGCATCAACGGGAGCAAGGTTTCTCGAGGACGGAATCGTGGTTATCAGACACTATACTGCTTTTTCTAACAATAAGAAAATGGTAACAATTCTCCACAGAGAACTAGAGCATAAAGTTGAAAACGTTCAGCACATGAAGTTGGAGGTCATGCGGCCGAAGACCCTGAAAAACAATATGAATTTCCAGCCTGAATAAACCATAACCGATCAGTCCATGTTGATTGTTGGTGAAGAATAAGGATGGAGGGGAGGGGGAGAGGGGTTATTAGAGACGGGGGGCTTATTTGAGAGGGGGGACTTAATAGGTGATTTACTGTAAGTTCAGATTTTTTCGATAATTGTACTTCACAGTTCGAGGTTGTCCAAGGTTTATAGAAAGATTTAAAATCGCGTTTCAACTACAGCAAACGTCAACTTGCATTGCGTGATGAAGTTTTCCTTTTATTTGTCGTTTTCTGTTCATTATATCTTCAGTCGTTTCGTGGCAGTTTTATCCATAAGAATTATTTTGGCAGTTTTCATCTGCTTATTTCCTCATCTGAGAAATTGCCTCTTGAATCTAATTTTTGCCTTGATTCTAAATCTCTCTAATATGGTGGTTGTAGGTAAAATCGATCTCAAGTTAAACCATTATTCAACCTAATTTGATTCAGAATTCCTTTGTTTCTTAGCCCTGATTATTCATAGGAGACAAAGGAAATTCTGGTTTTACCTGAGAACAGATTTTGGATCAATGGAGGTTTCCTGTGGGTAACTGTCCACCTACCCCTCCCCTGAGTCAATATTAACATTTACTTCTCACTTAGGGCAAAATTGTGACGTAGGGGAGGAGTAGGTAGATTTTACCTACAACTGGTATGCTGCAGTGCCTTAAAGGCAACACTCACTTTGCTCTGCGACGGAGCACTGGCACTACACACAAATTGTCAGCATTGCAAGTTCTGTGCGATGTAAGGAAATCAGGTTTTGCACGTTCTCAACCTGAGCGCTGACGCCTGTCTGAAAGAGGAGACGTCCGCACCCCGGCTAGCAGGACATGCACAAAGCCGTCATTCCGCAGACTATGTTAATTAAGGGAAACACTTAAAAGTCGCACATTTATACATTACTTCAGTAATCAAAAACCGTTCTCTGCATGTCTCGTTTGATGCCAAAATAGTAAGTCTGAAATTGACGTCTAAAATTCGTCCTATCCGCTGAACTGTACCGCCAACCTTTTAAACGAAAGGTTTATTACAACACACAGTTGACAAGGAAGAGTCTGTATTAGCGAGATTGACCTTCTGTGAGAATCTGTTGATTGGGCAAGAAATAAGTGTCCGTTGTCCGCATTTACGGTTGTCCGTATTAAGCGGGTTGAGTTTAGAGAAAATGTAAGAGCTTTTCCCCAGGGGCAAAGAAAAATGTACGTAATAATGAAGTGTTTGTATTAAGCGGGGTCGATTATAAAAGAAAACATGGAGAAGTATTTATGAGGCTTTTTTTTCCCGTTTAATTCACTCAGGTTAAGAATTTTTGGGCTCTGTAATACTACTTGATGGGTATATTCTTTTCACTAATTTGCAGGTTAAGAGAGGAACAACCGTTTAAGAAAGACTTGCGAGTTCTTCTGTTTAATAACAAAGACCTTGCTCAAGTAGAATTTTGTAGGACTTCGGAACAAAGAGGGAGGACTACGTTGTGTAAATTGCACTTAAAAATTCCCACTCAAAGCACTGGTCATACGGTAAGTTTTTGTGTCAGTCATTTGGGGCTTAGGAATTTAAACAGATTCGGGCTCCTGTAAATTGTAAAATATAATTTGATCTTATAGAATTTTATTTCAAACAGCAGCCACGAAAAATAAGAACTTCGTTAAAATCTTTCCTGCAAAAAGGCTGTGAATATCGTAATGGACTTCAATATTATCCAAAATTTCAGGATTGGTTGTTTCGAAACTATCAGTTTATACCGTAAACCACGCGAAAATTGCCACTGTACATGTGAAGTATAAAACCCACCACCACGTTGCGTACAGTATAAAGGCACCCGGCCATTGCCTTGATGTTGTGGGCGTCGTACACAAAAAACTACTCTTGTTGGCGCTATAATTCTATTTCAAAACTAAGCGAGATGTATACACTTATAATAAGGCTCCCTTGAATTGACCATGTATAAAGAAATCAACGGTGGGAAAAGTTTTTAATTTGGGCAGAGTTCGGAAAGTAGAAACGAAAGAAAGTGGGAAAGAAATTAGCTTATCTGGGTAGCTGTTCTCTCTTTCTTCCCATTTTCCTTGTTTGCCTTTTAAAATCTCATATTCCTGGTCCTACTTCCTTATACTATAAAGCATAAAGATTAAACGCAACGAATTTTGGGAGTTCTTTTACTTAATATATTAGCTTGTTGTCTTGCAGCGGCTGCATGCCACGCCGCTTTTATGGGGATAAGGTTCCAATAAGCAGTGCAAAACCATTAACTAAAATTATGTTTTGTACAGGCAAACTACGCTCATATGATGTTAATCGTTCCTACTCTTTTAGTGTATGTTTAAATGCAGTACTTCTTTTCTCTTTCTGTAGGTCAAGGCAATTGACAGAGCGTCAATTTCTTTTGATAAAAGGCGTTTAAGAGTCACTCTTTTGGGAGACGAGTGGGGATCCTCAAAGGGCGGTTTATCTACGCTGAACAGAGAACTAGCAAAGCACCTGGCACGTCAGCCTGATGTAGAGGTAACCGTTCTACTGCTACTTTACGATGAAAAAGAGAAGCGGGAAGCTCATGAATTTAATGTGCATCTTGCCACACCAGACGTGCAGGCCACGTCTGATCGCATCATGAAATTGTGTTTTCCTTCTGATGATCTCAATATTGACGTCGTTATAGGCCATGGTCAGAAGCTCGGAGTACCAGCTCAGGTCATAGCAGAACAGCGCAAATGCAAACGAGTTCATATAGTACACACTGCCAGTGAAGAGCTTGCAATGTTTAAGGAAGGCGAAACAGCGATTCCTGAAGGCGAGGAAAAACAACGAACTGAAATAGATTTGTGTAAGGAAGCTGATTTGGTCGTGGCCGTTGGACCAAAGCTAAAGGAAGCTGTCTCAGCCAAACTTCGGTTGTACGGTAGAGATGAAGATGTGATAAATATCACACCTGGAATTTTTTCGGAGTTCGCAGAGTCGGAGCAAGCCAGTCAGGAGAGAGAAGAGTTCCGCATCTTAGTGTTTGGTCGGGGTGACTCGAAAGATTTTAAACTAAAGGGATACGATATAGCTGCTAAAGCTATAGCAGGGTTAAAGAACAAAACCTACCGTCTAATATTTGTCGGGGCACCAAATGGGAAAGAAAAAGAAGTAACAGACGAATTTTTGAAATGTGGCATTCCTTCCTCTCAGCTAATTGTGCAGGGCTTTGTTAAGAATCGCGACACACTTAAGCCTTTCTTTTTCGAGGCGGATCTCGCTGTTATGCCGTCTCGAACGGAAGGCTTCGGCCTCACTGCTCTTGAAGCACTTTCCGCTGGACTTCCGATTTTGGTGAGCGAAAATTCGGGAATCGGAAAAGCTATTAAAACTATTCCTTTTGGAAGGGCATTTTTGGTTGATTCTGACAATGCCGAAGAATGGGGCAAAGCTATTAGTCGTGTGAGGGAAACGCCAAGGGAAATCCGGCTAAAAGAAGCTTGCTCTCTCCGAGAGGCCTACGACAAAAAGTACAAGTGGGAGACAGAATGTGAGAAGCTGGTAAAAAAAATGCGAGCTTCTTTTTTAATTCACTCTGGGTCTAAAAACTTTAGTGGTGTGTTTCGTCGTTTCTTATCCGTTTAAAAATGAAAGACTGTTGAATACAACAATGCTAACACTGCCAGTTGGTCAATAAGGCTGGAGAAATCCCCGGAAGCATTCCACTACTTTTTAAACTACCAGCCTCTTTACAAGATCAACAAAAACTGATGTTACACTTCTTAAATGTCATTTAGATTTTGCCCAAGATTTTATTTTTTTACTATTTTTCTGATTCGCCAGTTTTTAATGTACTTTCTGTCAGTATCAAGCATATACTATCCTCTTACGAAAAATGGAAAAAGGAAAAACAAAGGAGCTGTTATAGATAAAAGCAAACAGTCACACTTAGATGCACCTAGACTGATGCAGTAAAAAGCAACCACAATCGATTCCTACAAAATCACTTATTAGAAATGGCACTGATTAACTTTTCCCACTTTTTAAGTTGCTTGTTAAGTTTGTCCATTTTCCTGGCTATATGGAGTCATACGCCTTGTCCTGGTAATGAAGCCCTGAAGGAAAGGCATACCTCTGACATTTCGAAGAGTAAATGTTAAACTTACGTAGAAACAAAAATTATTGTTATAATAATAATAATAATAATAATAATAATGATAATAATAATAATAATAATAATAATAATAATAATAATAATAATAATTATTATTATTATTATTATTATCCCGCTAAGCCAGGACAGGAAGTGATTCCAAAACTCAGGAGAAAAGTAAATGCTCGAAGGATTCAATGTCAGTTTGGCAGAAAGTCAGTGGAAAGTGCAGATTGGTGATTCAACAATACCAAAGCGAAAACGTTTCTGATCTGCAAAAAGAATACGATTTAACAATTTAAAAAGGAAAATAGGAATCTCTGAGTTTTAATTGTAATGATTTTGTTGTGCATAGAGATAGCGAATAAACACTTTTCCAGTAAATAACTGTTTTGGGATACGTTTATATTAGGCGTAGTTTATTTCTTTGGTAGATATGTTTTGATAAAATGTCAAGGATTGGGAAAGGATTAATCACTGGTGTACATTAATATTATGACACTGCCAGATCTATTTTATGATGCATCAGTCTAGTTTTTAATGCACTTGCTATCAGTATGAAGCAAGAGCCATAATGTGACTCTTGGTATGAAGTCCATGCCATTCCTGAATTTTTTCATAGGTCTATTTATACATAATGTGCAATTCATGGAAATTTTGCATTTTAATACATGTTTATTGTTCGTTAATATTTATTTATGGAACTATTGAATGAACTTAGTTTACTATTTATTTTTCTACTCGATAACTATTTTATTCCTAGAATGTATTTGAACATATTTTCTTTCGTTTCTTAATTCGGAGAATTTAAAATTTTTTTTGTTAACACTATTTTTGTAGGTTCTTATTATTTAACAATTATTGAATGAGGCTGAGAATGGTGTTAAGAATTGTGTATGTCTGAGTGTTACAGACATATTAGCGGTAATTTTATTTAAGTGCGTCAAGTATTCAGTCAATCCTGTTCGGTTCGGCGCCCTTGTAGCCGTATAGCTAAAAAAAAAACGAACATGTACAGGGCGGACATCTCGTGTAGACCAGTATTCTTTTGAACCCTGATAGGTCTCATAGATTTTCCATTCTTAATAAATTATTTATTATTATTTATCATCCAGTTGTGTTCAATCTAACAAACTCTAACAGGCATGATAGGAAATTATATTAATCCGCCAGTCCATACACCCTCGGGCAGGGGGGATACTTCCTTATATGGCCTATACTGGGATGTGCCGCTGCAAAGGGTATCGTTTTTGACCTCTCGGTTCTGGACAGGGTAGATAATCACAGGGTGTTGCTTGCACTATTGATTTGAATTGCAAGATAAATTTTGTTTGTACTTCAAGTATACAAAAGGGTTTAACGTGAATTTGCTCTGTTGCAATTGCCACTAAATGGCTTTAAAGCAAGGTGGAGTGCATTTTCTCCTTTGTCCTAAACAGGGTAATAAAAGTGAGGGTGTTGTTTTAAACAGGGTGTGTATTTTAGGATTTTTTTGTCTAAAACAGGGTCAGGATTTCAAGTCCCGAGCGGCTCATGCACCTATACCCAAGTATTGGTCGAAAATTTGCATGGGACTGAAAAATGCTCGCGGTGGCCCGCCGTACGACTTTCATTCATGAGTGTACTCAGTCCTCCTCCTCACATGCGTGCGCGCGCATAATTTCCTGTCATTATTTTTTGATTTTCAGCAACTTCATTATGTACAGTAAAGTTTTTTGGATTGCAGCAACTTTTTTTATTTGCAGTAATTATTTTTAATTTGCAGCATGACCCTAGTGGGCCACCGAAGTGCTCCCCTAAAAGCAAAAGTAGTGCAGTTAAAATTAGTAATTTTAATAATTCAATCAATTCAGTCTGTGATCGTTTGGTAAATGCTGAGATTTAAGCCTTAAAAAGCATAACCTGGCCCTTTTGTTAAATACCAGAGAATCTTTCAGTTCAATATATTGCCCAATAGGGAGCTGCAGCCTTTTGAGTAATGTATTATTGATTTTTATATTCAATGTGTAAAATTATGTTTGCTTTAATTTTATCCTTTCTAATTTTTTAAAGACCAGTTAAGGTTAGTATTACATATCAATCTCAAAATTGGAGTCTAGATAGCCCGAAAGAGGAGTAAAGAAACAAATACTTCAAAGATTGGAAACAATTTGTTGCTACAATATTTTAGCCTGAGGCCGTATTCAGGAGTCGATTACTCGGCTCCTGGGATATTTTATAGATTTGTTTTATCTTAAAGCCGTTGAAGAAAAAGAAATGAAATAAAGATTGCTATAATAGCGGTGAAATCAAAGTAATACTAACAAAGTTAGAGTAAAAAAGCTAAAGAGTGGACGGAAGAGAGGCAGAAAAGCTTTCTTTATGTCCTCCAAAAGTGTACTAAACGTTTCAATTATAACGAAATGGGTTCAGAACTACTGAGTTTTTTTCTCCATAAAGTACTGGCTGCTGGCTTTTTTTGAAATGCCGATCACAATTCGTCGATAGAAAATGCTGAACTTCTCGTTTTGAGTTAATCTGTTTGATAGCCGCCTATTTTAAGTAATCCCAGGAGCCGATCGGCTCCTGGTAATCCCAATTCCGGAATCCGGGAACTTTTTCTTGTAATATCCGGTATCAGGGAAATTTCTGCTTCTGGGATTCGGAATCATGGGCTTTGGAATCCGGAATCCCGCTAACGATTGGAATCCGCAATCCAGTACCTGGAATCCTGATTCGACAGGGTGGAATCCAGCATTCAAAACTGTCTTGGATTACATCACGTAGGACAAATATAGAAATAAAGTGATAGCAAATACTGCTCCGTTGATAAACCAAATATCTTTGGTTTTCCTGTCCTAATTGCCAATGGTTTTCCAATGCCTTCATTTTGTCAATATTCCTAGGGAATAACGTAATTAGTCCTAGGACCCCACGACGTTTCACCAACTGGGTGTTGACTGAAATCTTCTTGTATTCTGATCATTTGTCTCTCTCAGTCGTTCGATTTACTGTCTTTATTCCCTCCTTCCCGCCCTGGGGGCTTCTCTCCAGTCCTCGGGTTCCCGGTTCCTTCAGTAAAGCGGCCTAAACAGATTCACTGGCTTGTTGTTTGCTGAGGTGCGCGGGGAACACGAGGGATAATTATTACTTCATGATCACGCCATCAATATTAGTGGCGGATCCAGGGAAGGGGCCCGGGGGGCACAATACACAATAGTATAAGATATGAGGCCCCCTTACCCGTTACTGGGCAGCCTAAGCAACTTTGCCTACCCCGGGTGGTATTCCCGGTGGGGGTGTGCCGTCTTAAAAGACTACAGAATGTTTTTTTCCTCACCCGTTTTTTTTAGGAACGCTCTCCCTGTTAGCCTCCGCAGCATCAAATGTATTTCTACTTTTAAATCTAATCTTAAAACTTATCTTTTTAAATTAGCTTTTAATATCTCTTAGATAGTAAATATATTTGTATATTTCTAATATTTGTATTAATAGTTTTTAGGTTATTTATTGTTGTAATGGGCTTTTGATCACCTAGCATGTTAAAAAGCGCACTATAAATGAATAAATTATTATTATTAAGACCCGGCTGTCTTAAATTCACTCCCGTTTTCAGACCTGGTATAGGTAGAAATAAGGTCATCATTTTTAGACTGAAGCTCAAACAAAGGGATTTCTTAAAAGCCATTTCGAATTCGTACATTGATCTTTCTTTCTGATTCATTTTTCATTTGAAAATGAAACGACAAATACCTTCATATACGCCCGTAGTTTCCTCGAAAACCATACCCGATTTCAGACCAAATGGGTAAAGTCTTTACCCATTTTCAGACCAAACGGAGCAAAAACCCTATTCTTTGGGGCGGTAGATAACTCTTTGGCTTATATAATGGAGTAACCCCCCCCCCCCCCCCCCCCTGAAAGAGGGCAAACGTGTTCGGTGTGTGCAGGGATTCCAACCGTGTGCCTTCCCATTCTTCCCCTTTTCAAACCCAACGGGGCAAAAACCCCTTTTTTGGGGGGGGTAAAAAACTCTTTTGGTTTTATAATGGGGTAACCCCCCCCCCCCCCCTTCGGGTTTGGCCAAATTGTCCAGCAGATCTTCACTGTAAGAGTAAAGAAACTCGAACTTAGCAAAACAAATTTGGTGTCTTCAATGCATATTAAAAGGGGGAAGGCCTCAGTTACGGTTGACGTGCGTCGTTCAAAAACGGTTTTGCTTTGTGAAATTCCAATCTACTTCCGGTTAACTTCCGGGTGGCTTCCGGGTTGTTTTGAAGCTTCTTTGGTCAGCGGCGTATTTCCAATATGGCGTCCAGTGTGGTGGAAAACTTATGTGAGTTACATCAACTTTTTAGGGACATATCCTCGAAGTTTTCTCCCGCTGAATCAGAAGATGTCGTGCAATCTTTGAAGAATATTTACGGCGAGGAATTCAAATCGCTAGGAAATCAAGATTTGTTGTCTTGTTTGGATCGTTTGTATGAATTCGGTTATGTTACACATACGAAACTGACTCTAATCAAGGAGTTCATTGCTACAAGATCAAACAATAAGCATGACATTAACAAAAGAGTTGAAGACTTCGAGACCTCCCGCCCATCGCAGCCTGAGCCAGAAAAGGAATTACACGGAAGAATAGAGGAGTTCAAGGAGATTACGGAAAAACTTAAAATGAAGCCTTCCGTTGTTAATTTGCATGGATCCGCTGGAGTGGGAAAGACAACTCTTGGTAGGAACATTTGTGATAAATGGGCTGGTGAGAAATATATCTTTGATTTAAGAGAAGCTAAAGATATGACGGCGGTTTATCTAAACATCATGGGTAAACTTGACCTAAACATGCAAAACGTTCGTTTTGATATGGGTACTGTTGTTGGAAGAATTCATGACCTGTTGAATGTGACAAGCGAAGGTGCTCCTGTTCTTTTACTTCTTGACAATGTGGATCAGTTCACTGAAGGAAAGGGAAAGGAGAGCAAGAACTTAAGAACACAATTTTTGTACTTCCTGGAAAAGCTGTCAGAGTTTGATGGCAAGAAAGGTTCATTAGACGTGCTTCTGACTTCAAGGACTCAACTGAATGATTCAGAGAAGGTGTCTGATTTTAAGTTGCAACCTCTTACAAATAATTTTTCAGAGAAAATCTTGCTACCTACAGAAACATTTCATGTTGAGGCACAGCACAAGAAGAAGCTTCTTGGCATCTGCAACGGAGTCCCGTTACTGTTGAAAGGAACATCTGCAATTTTGAAACAAAAGCGAAAGTCACCCAGTGATCTGATTGATGTGGTAGAAATGAACTCTCAAGAGGAAGCTGGATTTCCTGTGAAATCAAAACATGAGGGGGATACAGAAGAAAACCCTTTCAATTCAGAAGAAGAAGGCATTAATGAAGAGCAGACATCAGTGATCAGAGAAATGTTCTATAGCCTACCATCTGATACTTTGAGGGTTTCTGCTGTTTTAGTGTCATTGTTTCATGGACCCTTCACTGCTTCTGCTGCTGCCAAAGTTCTTGATGTTAGCACATCAGAAGCTGTAGCACAGCTTGAAGGACTAGCAACCAATGAAATTATTCATATAGCTGACAAAGATGCCAAACAGTTGATGTATGACATTCATCCACTTTTAAGAAAGTATGCTGAAAGCATTAAAGATCATGCAATGTTCTGTGAATCTTACACTAGAGCAAGGGGTCGATTTTTTGAGCACTTTATGACAAAGGTGCAAAAAATCGCAGGATTTGTAGAATCCAACTACATCAGGGCAATTAATGAGTTTGTAAGAGATTGCCCAAACTATGATTTTGCAGTAAGCCTCTTCTTACTGCCAGAGTACTTCATTTTTCCAGGTGAATACCGGGAAAGTGTAATCATTGCAAGCCTTTTCAAAGACATGTTGGCTCGAGAAAAACAGATGGAGTTGTTTCGTTCATGGGCAGAGATGTGCGAAGATGATGGAGAGTCAGGTACACGTAACTATCTTTTTCTTGGCATTTTGTTAATGTACAAAACAATGCAATCCACATGCAAATTTGTTGTTTTGCTAAATAAATTTAACCCAGATTTTAGCCATAGTATGCCTCTCAAATATGTAGAAGTTCATGGAGGCCCTTTTTGCAAAGTACCAAAGGGGGCTTTCATGCAAAGACATGATATCTTCAAACATGAAAATAACATGTTATTTTCACTCTTGGAAAAAAAGTCAAACATGCTGGTAAACTCATAGAAAACTTAAAGTTATTTTATAAAAGCAATAGATCATTTCGGGTCGTGATTTACAAACCTTTCTCTTGTTCTCCCAACATCCTGCATGGGTTATCACGCCGGTAAACCCATAGAAAGTGTGGTCTATTGCTTAGGTATTTTGCATGCTACTACACCAGCATTTGAAACGGAATTACCCAGAAATAGTCTATCCTTCTTTGGTGATCCTTTTTTTATTATGTGCCTCCAAATTCGATGTGAAACTAAAACAAAAATCCACAGTAATTGTCCATTATTGATGGCAAAGAAGATAAGGGGTAACATCTCACCAAGTTGGTGAATAGGGCTGGAATAGCACATCCAAAACTTGAAAACTTTGCACATGCATCACACTTTCGTTCATTCTTTGCTATGAGCAGGGGGGACGGGTTGACTGCATGACCTCAACTCCAGGAGAGTTTGTCAGAGAAGAAAGATTATTTAAAACAATATGTATCCCAAACTCTAACCTTGCTCAAGGCATTGATGCTTGGTGGAAAAAAATACTTCTGTTCACGTACATGTACTCCATGCTTTCTTAGTCATTGCTTACCGTACTTACACTGTAATGAGTGGGAGCAACAACTAAAACCCACTGAGATGGAGGAAAATATTTGGAAGTGAGGATTGGGATTAGTGCACCAAATCCTCTCGGTAAACCGCTCTGGTACAGTGTTCAAAGTGTGTGGGTGACTTACTCCAGCTCTTTGCTGTTGCTGTTCATACTATACCAGATTCATGTAGACAAGAAAAGCTATTCTGTATAGTGTAGGTTTTCGGTCCTGAGATTCTCGGGTAGGTTATTCCATAAATCAGACATTCAAACAAATATTTTCACTGCTGCAACAACTACTAGCACCACTTCCACTGGCACTACCACTCACCACATCCACTTCATGTGCCACTACCAAAAACACTATTACTACAGCCACTACCACCTTTCCTTTTTGCTACCAGCTGCTGCTACTGCCAATACTGCTACCACTGCAGTGAACAACAGCCATAAACTGCACTGCTACTTTTGGTACCATATACCAACACCACCGCCACTACCATTACTACTACCACTACCACTACCATTGCCACTACCACTATTTACTAGCACTGCCTCAACCACTACCACTACCACTTTCACCTCAGTATAACACATCCCCTGCTTCCAACACCATTGCCTTTAGCACTCTAATAACTGAAGTACATTTACCAAGAGAATCCAAGGCACAACGTGCTAAAGTCAACAATTTTGGCAATTTTAACTTGTTCCTTTTTTGTAGGTTCCTTATTTCGCGCACGCTTACGATGCTGGGAAGCTAGACTGGTCTTAGAAGCTCAGGGTGCGCATAAGGCATTTGATGTGTTAGAGAAGGCATCCCTGTCCTTAAAACAAGTTTATGACAAATCTACTGAATCCTTCAAGCAGACTCAAGGGCTCGTCAGGTATTTTGAGGGAGAAATCTATTACCAAAATAGATACTACCAGAAAGCGATTGAATGTCTGAAGTCCTCTTTAGACCTCATGGAGGGTCCGCTAAAACTTGACACCAATCTTGTCAGGTGTTATAACGCTCTGGGCAATTGTTATTACGGACTTAATCGAATGGAGAAAGCACTCCAACTTTACTACAAGGCACTAAGAATCCAAAAGGAAGTATCTGGCTTTGATTATCACTACAACATTCCATTTTACAAGAACCAAATTGGCACAGTTCACGAACAAAAAGGAGAGTATGACTAGGCAGAGAAATGCTACAAAGATGCTCTTGAAGTTTTAGAAAAGCTGGAATGCTTGGGATACGAAGATGAAGCACTTTTTCGTAGAAATCTCGCCAATGTTTATGTTCGCCAAAAAAAGTACAAACAAGCTGAAGAGGAGGCAAAGATGGCGTACAAAATCAGACTTACAAGGCTTGGAAATCACCCAGATACCGTACGAAGCATTTTTCAACAGGGAGTCATCCAAGCATACTCACAGGCTTATGAGAAAGCCTTGGACTTTTTCTTAAATGCTTGGGAAATGGAGAAATTATTGGGTGCGGGGAACCACAGCGCGGTTTGGAGATTCATTATCAATGGTGTCTTTGACATGTGTGATGTCTTACAGAAAGAACACAGGCAAGAACAATTCAGGCAGGACGTTTTGGAGTTTTGTCAGCGTTTCTGGGAAGAAGAGAAGGCTTCTCCACACTTCAGCTTTACTGCATACAATAAAGAAATCATCGATGCTATTCTGCATTTGTCTTCCAGCACGAAAAAAAAGAAAAGAGCGTTGGAAGACCGATATAAGAAAGAAGCTCTTTGGTTCTATGATGGCATGCAGAAAGCTACTGAAGGAGGCTTTAACGACGATTTTGATCAGGCAACAGACAATGAAGTGCTAAATGAAATGCTAAGGGACAGAACTGTATTTTTGGAGACTTTAATTAAGATCTGTGGTGAGCTTCGTTATCATGAAAAACTTCTAAAGCACAAGAAAGGGAAGTTAATGCTGTTCAAAAAAGTGCTTGTGAGATCAGGCTTTGTTGGCAAGAGGAAACAGGAGAAACAAACACTAAGGAGGGCTGTTGAAAATTTGTACAAAGAGACAGGAGAGGAAAGAAGTATCAAAAGTTTTAAGGAGAGCCTCTTGGCAACTTGGCGACAGCAGTGGGAAGAAGGCAAACGTGCAGAGGAGTCAAAATTAAAGTTGGTGGCTAGAGAAAGAATGATCAAGGGAATACGGCAGCTGTGCGAGGAACTCAAAATGAAAGATCTTCGTAAGAGATATGAGAAAGAAGATTTGAGCTTTCGTGAAAGATTATGGGAAATACGATACACTGAAATGAAACCTAATGTTGTGAAGAAGTTTCTTAATGAGATGAAAGACCTGGCATCTTCCATCGGAGATCGTGAAAGAGAGAAATTCTACCTCGCTGCTTTACAGGTAAGATTTTTAGGCATAGTTAGTTATGCAGTAGAATTTCAGTAATTTTTCAGTAATTTTCCTTCATGAATTTCTTTGCTTTGACGTTCAGAGTATAAATTTGTGGTCGTACACCGTTGTTTTGGAAGCAAACCAAAATGAATCAGGTATATGTGGACAAATTTGAAAATAAGTTATTTAATGTAGTTGCTTATTTCACAGATGAAGGTCACACACTTCAGTGGCGAAGTGACGAAATGGCGCAAAATTAAGGCCTTGCTACTCCACCAAAGAAGTCTGTTTTATTGGTTGCACAAGCATTGCTATGTACGATTCTTCGATGTTAATCCTTTCTGTCTTATAAATTTTCTCTTAACAGGATTTGAGGAAGAAAAAACAGCTAAGAGTCTCGCTAAAACCGAGAGGTAACTTTTGACGATGATACCTTATTACACGTTTTAAATGGAACTTACCACTTTTTTTTAAATATATTTTTGAAGGACTCAATCTCTACTCACATTCTTCTTTTTATTTTTACCTTCATATTATCGGTCGTCGTAAATGATTGTCATCATTATAAACTAAGGGTCATATACATTTGTATCCTCACGATTACGACCATCGTCTCAGTAATACAGCTGTAGTCCTCATTTTTAAACGGTAACGTTTTCTGTTTTTTCTTTTGAACTATGCTTTTTGAACTTTTTTTCTACCATTGTAATCAGGTTTGTTCGTTGTAAAATACTCTTTCTACGTTATGAGAAAAATTTATTATTTGCGCGGCGAAATAAAACTCTTTTACATGATTGTGCACTCTTCTAGTAAACCCTCGCGTAGAAAAAACGTTCCTCTCCATTTTTTCACGTTTTCTGTTTTTATGATGTCGGTAATTTCTCCTGTGGGTAAGTATTTTTGGTAGGGCGTACACGAAGACACTTAAAATTCGTTATTATCCAAATTGTTTTTTTTAATGTTTTTTTAATCTCAAATAATTCAAATAGACATCAAGTCTTTGCCTGAACAAACATCCTTGGATGCTCGCGAAGGGAAAGAAGAGGCTAAAGTAGATGCTGAAGAAGACGTTGAAGCAGTGCCAGTGGAGGTCACTCAGTTAGCATCCGAGGAAGTGATTTTAGAAGGGTCAGAAGGAAATGCTGAAGTGTTGTTCAAGGAAGTAATCACTTCATCACTTCACGTGATACCAGGTGTTTTTTCGCGTTAATACCCTAACCACGTTGTTATATTTTGTATGGTGTAAATGAAGACACAAAAAAATTCGTTATTAACTGATTTTTTTTTTAATTTCTTCTTAATCCCAAGTTTCTCAAGTAGTAGTAGAATGTTTGCTCGAAAAATCCCCGTCGGATGCCTACGAGGGGAGAGAAGAGACTGAAGAGAAAGATGAGGAAGACTTTCTATCGGTAGCAGTGGAGGCCGCTGAGTTAACATTCGAGATGGTGATTATAGAAGGGTTAGAGGAAGATGTTGAAGTGGTGTCCAATGAGGTAAATGAAGACGTCGGTGGAGAAGTGTCCATTCATATGATACCAGGTAACTTGTCGTGTCGGTAGCCTAGTCACATAGCTATTTTGTATGATGCAGATCTAGACATTTAATTCGCTGTTGTCTGTCTTTTTTTTTTAATCGTAAGTCCTTCAAGAGGAAATGAAGTGTTTGCTCGAACAACCATCCTCGAATACTTGCGAGGGGAAGGAAGATACTAAAGTAGAAGCTAAAGAAGACGTTGAAGCCGTGTCGGTGGAAACCACTGAGTTAGCTTCCGAGGAAGTGTTGACAGAATGGTCAGAAGAGGATGCTGAAGTGGTCTCCAAGGAGGTAACTGCAGACTTCGTTGGAGAAGGATCCCTACATGTGATGCCAGGTAATTTCTCGGTACCCTAACCACATTGTACTTTTTTGCACATGAAAACACCTTAAATTCGTTATCATCTTCGTTTCCTTCTTCTCTTTTCTTGATCTCAATTCCTTAAAGTAGGATTAAAATCTGTGCTTGAACAACCTTCCTCGAATGCTGGAAAAGAGAAAGACGAGACCGAAGAAGAAGCTGAAGTCTTTTCGGAGGAAGCCACGGAATTAGAGATCAAGGAAGTGATTTCAGAAGGGTGTGGAGGAAATGTTGAGGTGGCGTCCGAGGAGGTAACTGAACAGCCAACTGAAAAACAATTACAAGGAACCATTACCAGAGGATCAGTCAAAGACGTTGAAGCAAAGTCTGAAGACGAATTTGAAGTTGATGGCAGTTATAGTGTCATGAACACGCGAAGCGTTGTTGTTATTAAGTAAGTATTCGTTGAGTAAGTTATATACGCAAAGGGAAATACAGTCAAACTTCCCTGCAGGTGCATGTACTGAAGAAAGGGATTGTGTCCTTATTATATATATGTGCCTGAATCTGCGAGCGGGCAAGATGAAATTATGTGATCTGATTGGCTACCCAAAAGGACAAGATGGACGCATCTTGCCTGCTCGGGATTTCCCGCGTTGGTCACGCAAGAAAAAGTTCTCGTTAAGTTGGACAATATGGTAATTCCTTTGTGAAAGTAAGCTTGTTTGGTCAAGATGACTGAATGTTGTTCTCGTTTTTTTCGTGCGTTTTTGTTGACCCCGGCTTCGTCTCGGTCCATAAATACCCCAAAAGACCTTGGGCAATATTCAGCCATCCTAACTGAACAAGCTTGGTCAAAAACGCATGCATAATTTTGCAACTAAATTGACTTTCAATTGTTTTAGGAATGGGTTCGTTTTCACTGGTAGGGTTCCTGATCCATTTTCGTATTAAGAGGTTGTGCACTTTGTTTTCGGTAACATGGAGAGGTCTTTTTCTTGAAGTGTCAGTTAATAGTTGCATTTAAGTTCATCATAAAGCGAATACCAGTGTTTTGTAAAAGAAGAGATTGGAAGAGTGTAGAAGGAATTTAGATGATTGGCATCACCGGCATATTCATTGTGGGCTGTTCCAGAGTATGTGCATGGCTACAAGACGGCACTTCTCGCTTTAAAAATTATTATGTAGATAAATACCTATAGCTTTATCACTGGCTATAATCCCATTCGTTCCAACAATTACGCTTACTTAAAATTTAAGTGTTTTTGGTAAGTGGCGATCAACGCCGCGGGATGTTTCGTCCGAAACATATATTGAATTGCAACGTTTATTTTAAAAGGTATGGAGTACCCTGTGGTGTCTTAAAACCTTAATTTGTTTAATTTTTTAAGGGATACAGTGACCAAACAAGGAGCCCATTGGAATCTTAAAAAAAAAGAAGGCACATGTAATATTCCCTCCTGATGCTGTGTCTGAGGAAAGGACAATCACTGTCCTTAGATGGAATTCGTCAGTTTGTTCCCCTCCTTTGAACAACAATGAAGCTCTTGTTAGTGGCATTATTGAGCTATCGACCGACAGTGCTCTTGATTTCAACAAAGTTATCACGCTTGTAATTTCCCATTGCGCGGGAGACTTAAAGGGGTTTGAGGTTTTGGCGAAAAAACTACTTGACAGGGAGAGTAACGTGTGGGATGACATTTCTGAAACGGTTGACATGCGGTCATCAGCAGGTAAGGAAGAAGTTGGCGATGAGACATGTAGTTAACTCAGTTTTAAAACGGATTATCCCCGCTTTGTCCCAGGATTCGTTTAAGAAAAAGGGCGGGGTTGGGGGGGGGGGGCAGTATTTAAACTGGCTGATGCCTAGTAGGAGACCATCTGCGTAAGTAGCTAAAGAAACACTTCCGTGACTTTCACAAGCGACCTGCTACTAGAGGATGACTTCTTCATGCAGGTTTTATTAATCCAAGTTTGACTGCATCACGAAACTGAAAGACTGCATGTTTTATTACAGACACCAGGAAACTGAGAGACCCTGCCTCGTCAAATGATATTCCTGATTATTTTCTGCCGGTTGTTAAATTTGAAACTACACAGTGCTCAACATTTGCAGTTGTTTCCCGTCTTAAATCGAACGAGTTCACTGTTACCTCCGGCGGAAAAGTCCTTTCCTTGCCTGAGTATCCACATTTCAGTGTTTTTATTCCTCACAACGCTGTACAGGAAGGCAAAGAACTTCATATCAATGTCAAGGTTAGTTTTTTATATATTTATTTATGACTGATTTTTTGATTTTACGTAATACCGGAAAAAAGATTACCCTAGCCCGTGGAATTCCGAAGTTGTTATTAGTTGTTACGTCCTGTATACTGTAGGTTGAGCAGTGACTCATAATCACCAAGTGTGCGGTACACATTGCTATGACTGAGATAATGTGGATTGGCTCACGGCAAAGACTTGCTGATACTCTTACCTATCGACTGTACAAAGACGATCTCGCAGTCAGTGATCTGTTTTGTTAAAAAAAGATAACAAAAGGGAGGGGGGAGAGGGGTCCTGTGCACGTCTTGTGTGTTGAACATTGTAAATCAAACGCTGTTAATTGAGATATGAACTCTGATGTTTCAGCAATATAGGAGTTTATATCTTAGCCTGCAAGGCAGTCCTTTTTTCATGAGCGAGATTAAGTTGCTTGTTTGTATGCGTTATTGACCACTCGTCTTCGTTCAAGATGCCTGAATATTGGCCAAGTTATTTTTTTTTCGCGTTTTCATAGACCGAGACGAAGTCGAGGTCAATAAAAACGCAAAAAACGAACAAGGCCTATAATCAGCCATCTTGAACGAAGAAGCGTGGTCAATAAATGATTTATTTTATGGCCAAAACGATAACTTTTTCTTGTGGGCCAACGAAGGAAATACCGAGCGGGCAAGACGGGACCATCTTGCCCGTTCGCGTAGCCAATCAGAACGCAGGATTGGCCTCATCTTGTGCGCTCGGAGATTCAGCCATATAATAAATGTTCGTATTATGCCCGCCATCTTTGATTTTCTTACAGAGGAAGATTAGGTAAGAGTAGAAAATACAACTCTTGAGGTAGGCATTAGGATGAGAGAAGGAGGCGGGGAAGGGCGAGGCCCCCTTGAGTCGCCCCAACTTCTCGACTTTGTTAGAATTCAGTATTGCGGTTACGCGACCAAAAAACAATCGCACCCGAAGGAAATTTTTCTTGACGATCAGTTTTGTTAGTTAAATTTTATATTGACTTTGTAACTGCTGTTGAAATTGAAGTTTCATGCGTTGTTGTTTCATGTGCAGATTGAAGGGTGTGTGTTGATAACGAAATTTGTCGTGGTTCGATAATTATTAAAGTTTCTAAGACGATTTCCTCTCGCACAGGTGCACTTAAAAGGCTGACGATCATTGTGACGAACTGTTAAAAGATTATTCGGATTTTCTTCACTTAAGAAATTTAATGGCACTTAGTGCCATTAAAAGCACTCGTGCGATGCCACAGGAATTTGAAATCTATGTGCATCAACAGTTGGTATCTCTTACCTTCCCTTTCCTTGGCTCGTTGTGTTCATTTCTGTTTGCCTGTTTACTAAGTACGCGTTGCTATGGGATAACACTATAACAGTAACAGTGTCTGTTTTCTCTCGCATTGGCACAGATAACTTGCACATGAAGCTGATCAGCTGTTAGTGTAAACGTTATTGAATCAGTTTTGCAGATCACCTCTCGCTACCAATAATAGAAATAAGAAAATGTCAAAGAAAAGGTGTAGTTCAGTGTTCGAAATTGCAGAACCTTCTAATGTGCTTTCTTTCTGCAATTAGTTACAAGAAATTCCTCACAGAACATTTAGAGGGATGGAGATTTGGGCCAGCCCCATACTCAGATCAGAAATTACACACTATACAGGTTCTGACTCACTGCAGTTTAGAGAACCTGTAACTGTTCAGCTTCCATTGTCACTCAGGAAGGAAAGTTGTGAGGCTCCTGGTGACCTGTCGTCGTGCCGCGTTCGCATCTGGTGTTTAGAGTCAGCTTCAGATCGAGAGAAATGGACTGACATAACCGACCGCCTTTTCACTCCTGCAAGTTTTAATAGAATGGCAATCAATTTCGGCGTCATGCCCTTCTCTGGGCCCTTCTTTGGGTATGTAACTTTTGTAATTGTTATCCAATATGCTGTAATTTGGCCATGTACTCAGATTGTCCTATTCGGAAATTATTTGCATGATGCTACTTGGTCCATGGTTACTCCAGCTCTGATTCTGTCCACACGTCTTTACAGTGTTTATATCCTTCCCGTGTGGACGTCCAAAAACGTATAATTCAGAATGTGTTTGCCAAGGTAAAGGAACTCATGTGGCCATATCCTTAGAAAGGAAGCAAAATCCTCAAATATCTTCCCAAAAGTGCACGCTCTTTTAGGTTGAGTTGCAATATGTGCAAAGCACATATTGCTTGAATTAAGCACTCCAGTAAAACGCTGAAGTTCGTTTCATTTTAATTTATAGAACTTCCAGAGATTAGGTACAAGGGACCGCTGATTTTATTTCTTCCAGTCGTTACTAATTGCAATTAAACTTGAGTCTGCGTGGCAGCCGTTCGAAAGGGAAGGGGAAGGGAATCGAGGTACACGCGAGGGAGACGGGAGGAGGGGAACTTCGCCCGAAATCCCCTTCCTCTTACCTTTCGAAGCCTACTACGCAGGCTAGTTAAGCTTAAAAGCTTGATAAGTTTATCCTGCTGCTCCATTCATCTTCCAGCACATAATGTGCCATTGTTTGGAAGCAGGTTTTGGTGTTGGATCGAATGGTGCGCTCAGCCAGTGGTCTGGCTCGTACGTGAAGCGTTTTCTTGCAATGCAACAAGAGCAGGGTTCTGGCTTGGAGATGAAAGTTCCTCAGAATGGATGTGTTCCAACGACAAGACAGAAGTATTCCTTTCGGAAGATATCGTGAAGCCTGTAAAACATGAAGTACATGTCCGGTAAGAATTAATGGGGGAAAGGGGGTCCGTTTAAAGGGACTGATCCAACATGCTGATCCAGCATCATCTAACATTGGATGATCATCATCCAATCAATTGATGGTAAGAAAGAAGTGGATCAACTTCGTCAAAACGTCGAGGCCTACAACAGCTACTCAAACGTAGGCTCCGACAACAGATTCGTTTAAGCCAAAATAAAACTCTTCAGAAAAACCCATTTATAATTGAAACACTCTCAACTGCTTGATTATAACTTTTCAAAGAGTCTGATAATGATATTCGTCATAGCAATAGGTCGAAGTTGGTGGCACTCGTTGATTCATGTTCAGATAAGGTGTAAATACCCTCATTTATTGGATCTATTTAGGTTTCTGGGAAACTGCCCACCTACCCCTCCCCCAAGCCAATATTAACACTTACTTCTCGTTTAGGGCAAAATGTTGATTTAAAGGAGGGGTAGGTGGGCAGTTTTCCAGAAACCTAAGTTGATCCCATTCATTATAAAAAGCATCCACAAGCAGAGGGTTTTCTTAAGGTAGTTAATGCTCCTAACCCGTGAGAAACGGGTTGGGAATGAAGTACTCTATCAACAGGTGAGGGTCACTAAGCTCATAACTAGTCTAGCCTGTTAAATAAGGGTTGAAGAAAGTCCGTCTCCTTTCCAGGGGTGCAGGTCAGAATGCCCAGAGGGAGGTCCTTACTCCTGTCTCGATTTTCATCTTAGGAGCGATGACGCTTACGTTAAGGTTGATGTTGTGATGATAAGCCCCAGGGACTTAAAGCTACTCAGAAGCATAAAGGTAAACGAAAATGAATTGTTGTTTGAACTGGCACTACCTCTTCCTCGTTTACTAAGTGAACCTTACGCGTAAGTACAGTTATTTCAAAATGACTGTAATAATTAATTATAGATATAATATCTTCTAAGCGAAGATGCCCTCCAGGCGCTGGAATTTAAATACTGAGCTTCTGAAAAATCACGCTGCTGTTAATCAATACTCTCGTGGTGCAGCATTAAGACAATGTAACTGTTGTTAAGTGAAATTTTAGTTATTTTGTTTGCTTTTTACACCTAGACAAACTTAAGGTTGTGCTTAGTAGGCATGTTTATTTTACATGATACATTTAACAAGCTTGACCTTGCTGTTCATGAGATTCAGTTGTCGACAGAGAATTAAGTTTTGGGATAAGCACCCTTGTTAAACTAACATTTGTAATATATTTAACTAGACTACGATGTAGTTGATTCCTCTTTCAGACTTCGCGATCAGTTGTAAAGCCAGACCAAGGTTGTAGCTCTAGTTGTGCTTTTAAGAATCGTCTTAAGTAAGGTAAAAGGTCGAAAAAGGAAATGATTGTTTCCGTCAAGCACACATTCTAAAGGAAAGGTTGACTTGTGTTAGCGCACACAACTGTCGCAAAACTTGTAATAAAGACAGTTGGTTCGATAAGAATATACGAATCGTAATCCAGACATCTATAGAGTTTATGTTAAAGGGGTTATCAGTATCAGTTTTTCAGATTTATATTTTACAAGCGCACTATATATTTAAGAGCCAAAATAATCTCATGATCAAAAATAGATCGTTATTCTATCTTGTGGGGACATTGTTTCCTAAGAAACATTGAATTTCTTCCGATTATGCAGCGCAATCTGTGAAAGTGTTAAACGAAGTCGTGCGGTTAGCGTGGCTTGGGTCTGTTGACTGAAAAGTTTGTATGGGCTGCTCTCGATGATAGCTTAGAGAAAGTACAAGTAAAAGAACGGTTATTACGGAATATTATTTAGATTAAATATAACGAACGTTTACCATTATTAGCTTAAGTGCCAGTCAATTTCTTGAAATCCTCTCTCTCCGTCTTTAGGAAAGCGTTACTGATGGACGGTCAGCCTCTTTCGTGAGAGGCCCTTTAAGGGTAACACTTATCGGAGATCAGTGGGGACCATCAATGGTCGGGTTGTCTACGCTGAACAGGGAGTTAGCAAAAACCCTTGCACGTCAGCCTGGGGTGGAAGTAACTATTCTACTGCCACATTACAGTGAAAGAGAGAAGCAAGAAGCTAATGACTGTCAAGTGAGCCTGGCCACACCAGAGCCAATGACTGGGTTTGATTCCATCCGAGCATTGAGCTTTACTAGAGTAGATCATGATATTGATGTTGTTGTAGGCCATGGTCCGAAGCTGGGAGTACCAGCCCAGGTCATAGCAAAACAGCGCAGGTGCAAACGAGTTCATATAGTACACACTGCCAGTGAAGAGCTTGCAATGTTTAAGGAAGGCGAAACCGCGATACATGAAGGCAAGGGGAAGCACCGAACTGAAATGTATTTGTGTGAGGAAGCTGATGTCGTCGTTACAATTGGACCTAAGCTAAAGGAAGCTGTCTCAGCCGATCTTCGGTTGTGCGGTAGAGATGAAGATGTGATAGACATCACAGCTGGAATCTTTTGGGAGCTCGCAAAGATGGATCAAGCCAGTCAGGAGAGAGAACAGTTCCGCATCTTAGTGTTTGGTTGCGGTAACATGGAAGATTTTGAGCTAAAAGGATACGATATAGCTGCTAAAGCTGTAGGAAGCTTAAGAGATGAAAACTACCTTCTTCAATTTGTCGGGGCACCAAAAGGTAACGAAGAACAAGTTATAAAGAGGTTACTGAAGTGTGGCATTCCTCTCACACAGTTAAGGGTTGGACCATTTCCTGAGAGTCGCGACGAAACAAAAAAACTTTTGTGTAAGGTGGATCTTGCCATTATGCCGTCACGAACGGAAGGCTTTGGCCTCACCGCTCTCGAAGCACTCTCCGCTGGCCTTCCTATTTTGGTAAGTAGCAATTCGGGATTCGCTCAAGCTATTCGCAAAGTAGAATTCGGAGATTCGTGCGTGGTATATTCCCATGATCCCGTAGAGTGGGGTAAAGCTATCAGACGTGTGAAAAAGACACCAAGGAAACTCCGGCTAAAGGAAGCATGCTATCTCCGAAAGTACTATGACAAAGAGTACAATTGGGAGAAACAGTGTAAGATGCTTGAAAATAAAATGCGAGAAATTCTCCATAAAGCTCCGAGGAAACACTCAAGGTTGATACTTGTTGATAACTATGAACCTTCTCGCTAAAACCTACACTAACGGATTTCCCGTTAAACGGATGAAACACTCGTCCGTTCGAAACGGGTGTACCGAAATGCCTGAACAACAGACAGTTTGCCTTTTACGTCTTTGTTCTTCGTTGTCTTTTCCTTTTGAAAGATAAGTACGAGTGTTGAGCGTTACTCTATCGTGGTGGCCTTGGCCATGACTTTGGATAAATCTTGTTTTTTTTAAGGCCCCTCTTTTAAGTTCTCTCTCTAATCGTTTTAATCCTCTACTCAAATCCTTAGTTAACCTTTGTAATGTTCAGCTGATCCGTGTTTCGCCATCTATTTCGAAAAATATATATCTGTGTGATTTTGCTAAAAGGTGTCCGCTAAGTTATTTTAACTTACACCCTATTTACACGCGCTAAAAAAATCGGCACGGCACGCCACGCCAAATTTTTGGCACCGAGCTTCGTTTACCCGTGCCGAGACTACCTCCGGGAGGTAGTCTCGGCACCCCTAAAATTTTGAGCACTGGTACCACATTACATTTGGACCAATACGTTTACACGTCGAAAATTGGGAGTGCCGTGCCTTAAAATCGTCAGCACGGTGCCAAAAATTTGGCGTGCCGTGCCGATTTTTTAGCGCGTGTAAAGGGGGTTTTAAACATGGGCATCGCCAGTGTTCAAGCCCGTGTAGCCGAAAAAAAAAAACCAGGGGGCTTGACGTCTTGCTAGGCGTCAGCAGAGAGCCCAGGCCCATACCTAACTGTAGGTGGTTGGCTGGCTTTTTTTTTGTGTCAAAAGTAGGGGGACAGGGAGGGGAGATTTTGTCACTTTGATTAGAGTTTCCAGTCAGAAAGCAGTGCAAAGTCAAGGAATTTTCCCTGCTCGACTCATATTCAAAATACTACTGGCAGAGGCACCTTGTATCAAATCTAGTCAGATATATATGTATATATTTTTTGCGTAAAATTACTTCAAAAATATACACAAAGAAAGAAAATAATAGAACAGTGACACCTCTTATCTTACCAAGTGTATCCTTTCACTTCGTTTTCTTTAAAATAACTTTCGTAGCCTTTAAAAGGCTAAGCAAAGCAAATTCCTTTTAGGCCTTGTTTGCTAGGCTGTCCCTCCTATTAAAGTTATTTTTGCAACAAAGTGTTGTGAATGTCACATTTTTGCAATGTTATATCTTCTGAGTGGATGGACATGTTTTATTTCGTTATAGTTTGGAGGCCTTTTAAAGCCGTATCTTTCACTTGACGTCTTAAGGTGTCCCATTATGATATAAAACCAAGTTCTGGTGCCAAATTTCCGACGTCATTTCCCAGCAATAGTGTCAAGATATGAAAAACTGAACACATGATTTTGCATCTCATGGTTTGGCCCCTCAGTAGTGTTCTATTCTGTTATGATCGATTAGTTCAGTTAACAGACAAAAAGCCTGAGAAAACAACCGACATTGGCGACGCTACCACTGGTTTCCCCGCCAAATGACGTCTGAGAAACGAGCGCAGAAATTCCATACTGATGACACGTCACTACCCAGATCTGGGTAGTGCTTCTGATTGGTTGAATCAAATTTCCCACGCAGCACGACCAATCAGACGCACTACCCAGATCTGGGTAGTGCTTCTGATTGGTTGAATCAAATTTCCCACGCAGCACGACCAATCAGACGCACTACCCAGATCTGGGTAGTGACGCGTCATCAGTATTGAATTTCTGCGCTCGTTTCTCAGACTTCATTTGGTGGGGAAACCAGTGGTAGCGTGGCCAAATGTCGGCTGTTTTCTCAGGCTAACAGACAAATCACGCGCTTTACAAATCCAGTGCCAACAACATTAATATTAGCGCAACGTAATTGAAATTCCTGATGCCCGGGTGCCTACGAATAAGAAACATAACAGGTTACTTAACTACAGCTAGTGGCCACAGCTCTCACGGCCTCAAATGGTATAGTACCAGATAGAAGACTACATTTTTGCAACCGATTATACCAAGAATGGTTACTGAAGACCAAGCAGTGAACTTTCCTTTCTATTTGCGTATTTACTTCTTGGACAACTGAAATTGTTGGGTGGCTCCCAAAGAATTGCAGTATTAATACCAGCGCTCTTATCCTTTGATAAATTAACTTAACAAGAGTAATTCAGCGATCGCATTTTTGCGGGCGACAAGAGGAGCCCGCAATCCTGATCTCCAGGTTGTTATTACGCATGCGTCGCGTGTATGTAGCCAGCATTCGTTTGGACTTCCACTAAGAATGAATGGAATGCACGTAACGCAATTTGATCACGCGCGTTTGGACCTTCTAACCCTCGTAATCTGATCACGCGTGTTTTGACCATCTGTCAAGTGAAACTTACGCAAAGCACAGCGTTGGAGCAAAAGCGATTGGACCTTCGATCGTTGTCGCCCACACTCCCTAACCTTTGATAATTATTAGTCTATATTGTGATCAGAATGCTAATTTTTCTGGCCAGTAATTCTTGAAGGAAAAACAAACAAACAAATAAGCAAGCAAAAAAACAAAACAAAAACACTAACTACAATAATGTTTAGTATGTCTTGAGTAGTTAAACATTTAGTAGATAAGCGTTCGCAGGCTAGGGACAGTTATGTACCGGCCGCGGGGTTCATTTTCCGTTTACACGCCAATGCATGAATCCAAGATAAAAACGTCCCGGCTTGGTTGCGTGACTGGAAAATTTAAATCTTGAGTATAAGGCTACGTTAACGTTAGAGTTGATTTTTCCGGAGTCATAAACATTTCCTGATTTCAATACATTTAGGGTATTCATTCATAAGCAAATCCGAGAACATTCTTTCGGATACAAAGTCACTTTAGATTTCGGATTCAAGGCGGACATGGGATAATGACATAACCGGTGGCACGTCTTTATTTCGGATTTACGCGGCATCTGCGTGTAAAAAGATAAAAAGAACGCGGTGCCAAAATGTTTCGGATTAGTCACGAACTCCTCTAGTGTAATCATAGCCTTGTAAGAAACCCCTGTTAATGCTGCTGATGGCTACAGTTTGAAATCCCAACGCATATGTCTCTATAAATTCACGTCATTAATACTCATTCACTGGCCAAAAAATGTACATTCTAAGTGAAAGATGAAGGCAAATCTTGACAAAGAATAATAGTATTCTATTAACAAACTAGAAGTGTAATGCTGTGTCTTTCACTTGTTGCTGCGCAGCAGACTAGCTCAGGTCGCCTACGTGACTGGGCTACCTGTGCCCGAGCCCAGCCTCATTTGATGTATGTCTGCGTGATTTTGCTAAAAGGTGCCTGTTAAGTTTTCGTTTGAACACGGGCTTGGCCCGTGTTCAAGCCAATGTAGCTGGAAAAAAACCAGGGGGCTTGCCGTCTTGCTAGGTGTCAGCAGAGAGCCCAGGCCTAGCCCTATCCGTGGGTGGGTGGCTGACTTGTTTTGTGTCAAAGCCAGGGGAGTAGGGAGGGGAGATTTTGTCACTTTGATTAGAGTTTCATGTAAGAAAGTAGTGCAACGTCAGAGAATTTTTCCCGTGGGCTAGCCCAGCCAAATCAATGCTGTGGCTTATAATCATAACACTACAGGCAGAGCTTGCGGAAAGTGATTGACTAGTCATAATCTTCATGGGTGGGGAGGGTGAGTAGTTGCTCCTTGGACTTGGCTGTCTAGAGACTCAGTACAGGCACCTTGTATGAAATCCGCACAGATCTATATCCAGGGGCACCCAATGGATCTGTTCCTCAAAATATCTGTTCTTCAGGCACATTTTTACTGGCTGGGAGATGTGGAAGAAATAATAGTCCTCGGAAGGAAAGTGTTGCTGGGAAAAATATAATTCAGGGTGTCAGAGGGGATTTGAAGTCTAGAATAGCTGCTACGGGTTACTTGTATGGGTTACTTACCACTCAAGATTTGAATTGTGTCCTATAAAACTTCCCAGTAAGTCAGGTTGCAGGTTGTAAGGTTGCTGGCTGGGAACTCCTTCATCAGTCTTGCTGGGAGTGAGGAACAGATAATTTTTTTCCAGCAATCTCCCAAAATGCTTAAAATAGTCTCAGAAAACTTTATTCACGCTTTGCTGTTGTTTTTAGGTCTTTTTCTCAAAATTTACTGTTGGGTGCCCCTGTATATCACCGCATTTGCCTCGATTTAAAACTAAGGAGTACACAAGGAAAACTTAAAGCCCGGGAGATATCCTGTGTCGCATAGAAAGCCACGTTTTTGCAAGCAAAGAATATGAATTAATGCAATTGAAGGTAAAAAATTCCCGTGAATTGAAGAAATACGTTTCTCAGAATATTTCAAGCAATTCTGATTCCTGGAACTCTACTGTAAATAAAGTCGGTGTTTTGGCTAAATTTGTATTCAGCCAGGCTTTGTTGTATTTATTCAGTTGATAAATTGCTTTGGTTATTAAGAACTTTTCTGGAAAGTGTGACAAGGTTTGTTCTTCCTTGGTAGTAAAACGTTTTATAGACGACGGAAGCAAAGATTGAAAATGATTTGATACGCTCGCGAAGCCGTTATGAACCAGTCTAATATTGAACTCGATTGGAAATTCACTCTCTCACACTCACTCCATCGCTCGCGTGCTCTTAATCTTTACACCACACAACAAGCAAAAAAGAAAAAGAACTAAAAGAAAGAACAAAGTAGGGACCTTCACGACGATATTCGTGGTGGGTTACCCATCCAAATCCTAACTCCGCCCGACAGGGCTTACCTTGAGGGGCGCCACTTAAAAAAAAAAACAAAACAAAACGGTTTCGCGAGGGTCATTGCGTGATGCGTACGTCTTGTAATACGCTGATGTATTCTCACGGACTTTCATACAATGTAGCTTGATACAAACACTTATTTTGGTTCAAATTTCGGTTTTTATTGATCGCCTTCGCGTCGTGTTGCGTTACATGCAAAGTTATTTTTAAAACAGTCAAATATCATTAAAGGAAAAAAACTGCAACTGATTCAAATTATATGAAATGCAATGCTGTACTCGCAGCATCTCACTTTCCATTGGAAATAACTAGTAAAAAGGTATCTCATAACGATACTTGTAAGACATGACCCCCCTTCCCCGATAATACGGACGTTCACTCTACTTCCGGGTTAACTTCCGGGTTTTCTGAAGCTTCATTGGTCAGCGGCGTATTCAAAGATGGCGTCCAGTGTGGCGGAAAGTTTACCTGACTTAAATCAACTGTTTAGGGACATATCTTTGAAGTTTTATCCAGCCGAATCGGAAGATGTCGTGCAATATTTGAAGAGGATTTACGGAGAGCAATTTAAATCGCTGGGAAATCAAGATTTGCTGTCATGTTTGGATCGTTTGTATGAGTTCGGTTATGTTTCGAGTTCGAACCTGACACTGCTCGGCGAGTTTGTCGCCTCAAAATCAATCAACCAAAATGTAATTAACAAAAGGATTGAAAACTTCAAGGCTTCTCGACCATCAGAGATTAAAACAGACATTGAATTGCAAGGAAGAAGAACTGAAATTCAGGAAATAATGAAAAGCCTCGACAGTAAGCAAAATGCTGTTGTCAATTTGTATGGAGCCACTGGAATAGGAAAGACTACTCTTGCCAAGAAAATTTATGCAAAGTGGATGGGAAAGAAACATGTCTTTGACTTGAGAGAAAATAAAGACATGGGAGAAGTTTATGTTAACATTATGGGTACGCTAAAGCTAAGTGTGCCTGAACGTGTTCTACCAATGGTCTATGTTGTTGGAAGAATTCGCAAGTATATCGAAAACGAGAGCGACGGTCAGCCTGTACTCTTTCTTCTTGATAATGTCGAGCAGCTCACTGAAAGAAAGGGGAACGAGGGCAAGAACTTAAGGATACAGTTCATTCAATTTCTAAACGAGCTTTCAGGATATGAGTACAAGAAAGGATCATTAAACATGCTTCTGACCTCGAGGTTTGCGATAAAAGTTAAAGAAACCGTGACTGACTATGAATTACAACCTCTTGAAAATTTTTTTTCTGAAAAAATTTTGCTCCCTGGGAAAACCTCAAGTGTTAATACTTGGCAGAGAGAGAAGCTTCTCGGGATCTGTAAAGGAGTTCCATTGCTCTTAAAAGGAACAGCTGCAATTTTGAGACAAAGACGAAAATCACCCAATGATTTGATTAGAGTAACAGAGACTAGTTCTCAAAAGGAAACCCAAACTCCTTCCAACCCTAACTTGACAGAGAACAAGGAAGAAAAACCTCTCGATTTTAAAGAAGAAGGAGTTGATGAAAGTCAGATGTCAGTAATCCGAGAAATGTTCAACACTCTCCCGTCTGATAGTTTGAGAATGTCTGCTGTATCACTGTCTTTGTTCCATGCACCCTTTCCTGCAACCACAGCAGCCAAAGTTCTTGGGATGAGAATACCAGAAGCTATAGCGCAGCTTGAAGGACTGACAACTAGTGAAATCATTCAACATGTGCTTGATGGAGAGGATAAGCAGATGATGTATGACATTCATCCGCTTTTAAAGAAGTATGCTGAGAGCATTGCCAATGAAGCAAAGTTCTGTGAATCTTACACTAAAGCAGAGAAGCGATTTTATGAGCACTTTTTGTCAGAGATGAAAAGAATTGCAGGATTCATAGAGTCTGATTACGTTAAAGCATTCTTTGAGTTTGAAAGAGATCGCCAAAACTACGAGTTTACAATTGACAGCACTTTGTTACCAGAGTACTTCAGTGTCCCAGGTGGATACCAAGAAAAGGCATTAGTTGTATCTCTTTTCAATGCCATGTTGACTGGGGACAAACAGAGTAAGTTGTTCCATTCCTGGGCGGAGGTGTGCAGAGATGATGGAAACTTAGGTAAGCCATTTGCCTCTCCGTGTAGCAACCATTAACGTCTTAATACAGTTTCTACAATTGATGTTGCCACCTCCGTTGAACCGCGTTAATTGTGAACGCCTTGTGTGCATAAGAGTTGTGTTAAAAAATGTCTTGAAATAAACAACCAGTGGTGAAATTGAGATTAAAAGAAAGAGAAAAAGGGGAAAAAATGAAGGACTGCTAGAAGTTCTACTTGAGATATACTTGCCATATAATAACTGTTACAAATTTTTCTTCTTTCATTTGCTTCCAGGTTCTCTATTTCGAGCTCAGCTACGATGTTGGGAGGCTAGGCTGGTGTCAGAAACTCAAGGCCCTCTTGATGGGTTTGAAGTACTGCAGAAGGCATCCTTGTCATTAGAACAAGTTCAGGATCAATCTTGCAAATATTTTGAACAGACTAAAAGGCTTTTCTTGTATGTTGAGGGAGAAATCTGTTATCAAAACAGAGACTATAAGAAAGCAATTAAATGCCTTGAGTCTTCTTTGGACCTTGTGGAGCATCCGTCGAAACCTGACACCAATCTTGCCCGGTGTTATAATGCTCTAGGTAATTGTTACTATGGAGTTAACAACGTAGAGAAAGCCCTTGAATTCTACACTGAGGCGCTGAAGGTGCGAGAGCAATTGTCTGGTTCTGAATATCACTATGACATGCCAGTATACAAGAATCAAATTGGCACAGTTTACGAAGCAAAAGGAGAGTATGAAGAAGCAGTCAAATGGTACAAAGAGGCGTTAAGGCTTTTGGAGGATCTGAAAATCTCAGGATACGAAGATGAAGCACTTTTCTGTAGAAATCTTGCTAATGTTTTGATGCGTCAGGAAAAGTACCATAAAGCCGTCGAGCCGGCAGAAAAGGCATACAACATCAGACAAAAGAGGCTTGGAACACATCCAGATACCGTACGAAGCATTTTTCAACTAGGGGTCCTTCAAGCAAACTTACGGGCTTATCACAAAGCCTTGGACCATTTCTTAACAGCTTGGAAAATGGAGAAATCGTTAGTTGCAGGGAACCATAGTGAAGTTTGGAGACTAATTATTAAAGGCGTTTTTGACATGTATGATGTTTTGAAGATCAAAGAAGTTGACAAAGAGAAATTCAGGCAAGAAGCGTTGGAGTTTTGTCAACATTTTTGGAAAGGCGAATTAATGTCTTCACACTTCAGCTTTACTGCGTTCAATAAAGGAATCATCGATTGTATTCTGGATCTACTTAGTGACATGGAAGAAGAGAGTGATTTAAGAGATGAGTACAAGAACTTAGCTCTTTGGTTCGATGAAGGCATGCAGAAAGAGGAGGATGATGTAATTAATCCACTAACCAAACAGGTATTATAGGTACAGTCTGAAAGATGGAGTGTAATCACATATGTAAAGTGTTGCTGTTGTTATCACTGCTATTTACTAGGAAAAGTGATAAGCCTGTTAAAATTACAAGCACATCACCAAAAACAAACCCCTGTTTGTAATATGAAACACGTTTTCATGACAGGCTTAGACCATTCAGGAATTTGGGTCCTTTCTGCTTAGGTAAAATTTTTTTACCTAAATCACAGTAGTAGCTGAAAGAGGAACCACACTAAAAAGAAGACAAGCCTTACGAAGGTGTTATAAGCCGGATTAATCCTGACACGTTTTAGCGGTAAATTTTCCTGATTAAGGTGTACGAGTTTTCTTAAAAGTCTGATATGTAATACAATAAAACAGTGGGACAGGGCTACTCTTTCTTAATTTGCTGTTATATAATTTTTTTGTGGCTATAGCGGTTTCATGCTGGCTTGGTTAAAAAATATACATCACCGGAATTTTCAGTTTTAAAATGCCTTTATCTTAGTTGACATTGTTTTGGTAAAGGATTACATAAATAAATTTGTTAGAGAGAAGTAAATACTTCAAAGGTTTATTCGTTAGACACAGGCAAATTAATGCCCCAGTGTATTTGTTAGACACAAACAAATTAATGCCCCAGTGTATTTGTTAGACAGAGGCAAATTAATGCCCCAGTGTTGTTGTTAGACACAGGCAAATTAATGCCCCAGTGTATTTGTAAGACACAGGCAAATTAATGCCCCAGTGTGTTTGCTAAACCCAGGCAAATTAATGCCCCAGTGTATTTTGTTAAACACAGGCAAATTAATGCACCTATCAATGTAAATCCCGTGAGGGGGGAGTGCGGGCAAGGGGCAGGGATTTGATGCCTGAGACTATCCCCCCTGTTGGGCTTTTGATCGTGCAAAGCGACCCCGGGGTCGGGACATTTGACTTTGCCCGGCAGAAGCCTGGTACCAATTCAGAAGTGGTTGCCAAGTCTGTCCCTCGAGGCTTTCTTAAAGTCACGCTGTTGGAGAAAGGTGTGAAGTTTTCATTTGTTTTAATCGCCATAATCCGACAGTCATCTAAACAGATAATGTCTATTTTGAGAAAGTTTTTATCTTCAAGTGCCCATCTGAATGTAAAACTCCATTGAAATCGAATTCCACCATGAAATTCAGAGCATTTTTAACGGCTCACTGATCCGACCTGTTCCAACATGTTGAGCAGATGTTATAAAACATTGTACGTTTCATTAACATTATAATAGCCCGGTCAGTCTTCCTGGAGGGATTTTGTCGTTCAAAATAAGAGATGCTAGTGGAGAGAGAAAATACTTAATTACAGCGAGTAATTTAAGGGAGCTTATGTTAACCTTTAACTAAATAAAAGTAGTAAGAACGTACTTTTGAAATGTTCTTTTATTCGTTTTTTAAGTATTATAGCAATGTTTGCTAAGATTTTTTCCCCTGGGGTGGGGCTTTTTTGACACTTTTGATTGACCTTTCGTTTCCCGCCCTGGGGAATTTGATCAAAAAATTTTAAAATTTGTCAAATCCCCACCCCTTGCCCGCACTCCCCCCCCCCCCCCCCCGGGGTTACCTTTTTAAGGTGCTTTTTTCCCCCACTGGAGATTGGGATTTGTTTTTTTTTCCTGGTTCCATTCCCCCCCCCCTCTTTTTTTTTTCGTTTTTTTCTTTTTTTTTTTTTTTTTTTTTTGACACTTTTTACCACTTTTTTCTTTAAAAAAAAAAAACACCCCTTTTCTTTTTTCCAAACCCCCCCCCTTTCCCCCCCCCCCCCCCCCCCCCCAACGGGGTTTACATTGATAGGCGCATAATGCCCCAGTGTATTTTGTTAAACACAGGCAAATTAATGCCCCAGTGTGTTTTGTCAAACACAGGCAAATTAATGCCCCAGTGTATTTATTAGACACAGGCAAATTAATGCCCCAGTGTATTTGTTAAACACAGACAAATTAATGCCCCAGTGTATTTTGTTAAACACACGCAAATTAATGCCCCAGTGTATTTTGTTAAACACAGGCAAATTAATGCCCCAGTGTATTTTGTTAACCACAGGCAAATTAATGCCCCAGTGTATTTATTAGTCACAGGCAAATTAATGCCCCAGTGTATTTTGTTAAACACAGGCAAATTAATGCCCCAGCGTATTTGTTAGACACAGCTGGCAAATTAATGCCTCAGTGTATTTTGTTAAACACAGGCAAATTAATGCCCCAGTGTATTTATAAGATACAGGGAAATTAATGCCCCAGTGTATTATGTTAGACACCTTAACGCCTTGGGCAAATGCCTGCTGTTAATTCCTGAACTGGCCTAAGCCTCTCATATGTTGTCTGCCTTAATGTGCATAACTCGGACATTAACCCCTCCTTATCATTTTTTTAGAGTTCGAGGGAGACAAGACAACCAGGCGATACGCTGCGAACGAGAGGTACATTTCCATTTCGATGTGTGAAGCTTTAAAATCTTATATCTTATATCTTACCGCTTTTTTGGCCCTAGTTGTTGTCCTCGTTACCCCCATTGACGTGATGAGTATTTTCATCAGAGTCAATATCAACGTTATATTTTATTATTATTGTAGCCTGTTCCAAGCGTTCAGATAGTAGAGCGCGGATGTTAAAAGTGGGGAGCAAATTATAAGTTGTTCACCACTCGTTTTTTTTTCTCTTCGTGAATTTTTCTCCCACGCTCTACTATTCAAACGCCTGGAACAGGTTATTTTCATTGTCATCATCATCTCCACCTTTACTCATAATCTTCATCACCATGTCGTTCCCAACCTCCACAACCATCGTTACAATACTTGTCCTTTTTTTCGATTTAAACCCTCATTGTTACTCTTTAGTATCAACATTAACTAATTGTCAGTCACCTTAGTAGGCTCCAGCTGTCTCTTGGCATTCAATATTAATTTTTTGGAGTAATTTGATAAAATTACTTTCAAAGGCTTCCTTTTCTTAGAAATAACGTCACAATGTTCAAAACTCAAGGGGATCCACCACAGGAGCCACCATGCAGCTGCAAGGGAGTGGTTTCGCTGCAAAATTGTGATTATTTTGACGTTATTTTTATAGTCGATGAGAGTGTAGACCATGGACAATTGTTGTCGATTTTTTTCTTTTACAATAATGTTGACGTTTAATTTAAGTTTATTAGAAAAACGCGCACGCACGAAAGAGCAAACCAAAGTGCACCGCCATCACGTCAGTTCTATACTCTCGTAGACTCGACCATTCATTATGCGAGAAATTGCTGAGTTATTTGCAAACATTGAATCTTAAGTTCTTCGAACCATGTTTAAATAGAAAAGACGCCATTTGTTCAAGAAAAATCCTCTTTTACTGGAAAAGAGAAAGACGAGATTGAAGTAGAAGCTGAAGACGACGTTGTTGAGGCATCCGTGCTAGCCACTCCCCAAGTAGATTCCCAAGAAAAAACGGGCGAAGGTTCTGAAGTGTTAGCTAAGACAGTAGATGAAGAGGGGCTTAAAGCAGAGTCCCAAATAACGATTCAAGGTAGAACGGAAGAAGAGTTTGAACATGAAACTGAATCTGAGGGAGATCTTGAATCCGAAGGAATGATGGAAGAAGAACCAGAAGACGACGTTAAAAACATACGCTCTGTTATCTTCAGGTAAGAAAATAAGTGGCATCGAAAGCACAGACACTAAAAACACTAAAACCTTACCTTGTATGAATTTAGAAATCTTTGGAACCAAGGAAGCTGGTTTTGTGACAGGAGCTGGACTGAAGAGTGTCCTTTGGCTGGTTCACACGAGCGGCACAAAAGCAAACGTCCAACATAAACAAAAAGAACATACCCACACGTTGCATTGTTTTAAGAAGGGTCGTATTATAAGCACAACACTTGCGGAAGCGCTGGCCGTCCCAAGAAATGGAAAATTGCCTACTTGTAGTTACATTAAGATACTTTCCAAGTCTGTTCCCCTGGGCTTACGTTTTCATGTGCGCCAGTCGTGTGAACCAACCTTTAGAGCTGAGAGTTTCAAATCAAGAGCCATAATGGCTCTTGTTTCAAATACATCAACTTCATGGTTTTGCTTTGAAGGCGATGGTCGATAAAACTGTATACTCTCAACGTGAAGCAGCATATTTCACACCCTGGGACTTGATAGGCAAGTTTTTATCCTTAAAAAGAAGGCAGACAAAAAACTGTCCGAAACCATTCGTCAAGGGGTTAGTATATTGCCCCCTCTTTTTTGGGAATAAGAAATCGTGAACGAGTCCGCCGCCATACCCCTAACTTAAAACTAATTTTCCCAATACATTCCTCTTCAACCATCGTCACCCATTGTTCTGAAGACAAAAAGGAAGACTAAGAAGAAAGAAAACAACAACATTTATTGAAATTCGTCTGATTGTAGAGGAGAAGTAACAAGTGAGGGTACCAACTGGGCCGTCAAAGAAGGGGGTGTTCACCTGATGTTTCCTCCTGATGCTGTGTCTGAACTTACTCCAATAATGGTCCAAAGATGGAAATACAGTCACCGTTCTCCCCCACTTCACGAGTATGAGGCCATTACTAGCAATGTTATTGAACTGTGCCCCATGGTAGGCCAAGGCCTAAAATTTAACACCAAGGTGAAGCTGTCACTATCCCACAGCACAACAAGCCTGTGGGGCTATGAGCTGGTGATAAAAAGGCTGATTGACAAGGAGACGAATAAATGGGAGGAAATGGATGGAACTACGGACGTTCGTTACCATCAAGGTAGAGGAAATCCCTTTTTAGAGTAGAATAATGTGCGGATTATAGGTTGGCCTGATGAAAACTTTATAGCAGAGTGGGGTGTACGCAGTCAGTATGCTCTGTGCAGATTTTTTGATTCCAGTTTATCCTTGAGTCGAGCATGGCTCCTTTGTTTTCCATCAATTCACGGTACTTTTCAAAAAAGTTATTTTAACTCTAAAAGTGGAGTGAAAATATTAGGTATAGGATAATTCCTTTTTCTTTTTGAAGGAGGTCAATATAATTTACGGGGTATTGAGGAGTTAATTTAACTTCACCTGATGAGGCAATGTTTGTAACTCTTTAAAAAACAGCGTGATTGTACCTTATAGGCGAATCTTTGTTTACACTTTTTTCCTCATTAACATATGCTTACCACTATCTGATGACGCTAATAAAATTAAAAATCTGAATATTTAAAGGGCATATCAGTTTCAGTTATCTCTGAAAATTTGAGCCCAATACACCAAACGGTTTCGGAAAAATTCTCCTCTAAAACCTCGAAAATTTACAAAGAATGTATGGCTCATTAACGTTTCTGCCACACAGCAATTCCGCAGTTTTTGATGGCTGATATTTCCTTCAATATTGCTTGCAAAGAGCTGAAAATTGTACAAATTGCTCAACTTAAACAGCTGTTTCAACTTTTTCATTTAGTTCGTAATTATATACCGCCACGGCTTCTATGACTTAAGTGGTATGCTAATGTTGAAAAATGTAATCAATGACGTCAGCGCAAAGATTCGCCTTTAATACTAAAAAAACAAAGAAGTTTAACATTGAAGTAGGTGTACGTCACGGCGTAGACAAGGGGGTGAAGTAGTTTTGAACTCAGTGCCGTTTTCAATTTGAAGCTGGGTTAGGTGAGCCTGGTTTGTTATAATATTATCTGTCACTTTTCCATAGAAAAGGAAACGAGCTAAGTGAATATATGTAATTTTTTTTTAACAGAAAACGAAGACGATTACCCTTTCCACATGGAAATACCGGACTTTTTCTTTCCTATTGCTCAAGCTGACATCACTGAGTGCTCAGCATACGCAGTTGTTTGTCGTCTGAAGGCTTCTCCAACTTACACCATCACATCCAAAGGCGGCTCATTCAGCCATCCTGACTATCCAGGCGTGACAGTTACAATCCCTGAGAATGCTGTTGCACCTACAGAAAAGTTTCCTGTGGAGTTAAAGGTAGGTGTGATTTCATATGTCCGTCGAAGTAGTTCTTAAGCTGAGCCCGGTTGACCAGGCTTTTGCACAAAATCCTTGGTAAAAATATGAGAGGGCGTAGTCCACCTTGGTTAACCGAGAAAAAACACTTTTTGTTAAAAATTGTGACCACAAATTCATGACGGTCTGATTTTTGGATAGTGTGTAAGAAACAATGAAAGAATGCGGAGTTTTTAAACTTTCGTACACTATACGCCTCTATGCGCCTCTCGCTCATTAGCAGAGCAGGTCAAAACATGCGTATTTAGTGAGACTTTGCATCTGAGTAGTGTTTTCACGTTATTGAAAAAACTGGACGTTATTTTCACAGTGGGAATCGTAACAAACAACTTGTGATTATCATTTCTAATGGAACAGGTGCAAGAAGTTTCAAATGAAGAATTTGAAGGGGAAAGTATTATTATTGGGCCTGTGTTGCGAATCACTCGGGCTGTCCAGTTCTTGAGGCTTGTCACCATTCAACTGCCAATTTCTCTTCGAGGGCAAGAAGTCTTCAATCCAGATCCCACAGTCTATAGGGTCAGAGTGTTGTTCCTGAAGACCGAGGATGAAATGAAGAAATGGATTGAAATCACTGGTGATCTTCCGGAACCCCCAAGTTTTGATGGAAAGTTCGTAAGGTTTCAGGTTGATCGATTTTGTCGGTAAGAACTGAAGCATTTTTTTGTTTGTTTTGTGTGTGCGTATGTTTTTTTTTGCTTCCATTCTCTAAGAAGATTGACGGTGAGGTAAAGTTATGAATTATTTATGTTATATTTTAACCATGCATTCAGTAACGGCAAAGGAATTTACCAAAATGTATTATGCACTTGTACAGTTGTTGTTGTCTTTGCCGTCTCCGTCATTTTGTTAAATGACCTGCCTTAGAGAAACCATATTAGAACACCGCAATCAGAAACAGATCCTACAAGGCTCAAAGAATGTGTCTTGTGGTGCTTGGAACCGCACAGAAGACTAAGAAGAGTGGGAACAGCAAGTGATGCCTATAAGTTGTTTGATGACTAGATAGGAAACTTCTAAGCCGTTTAGTAGGCGAACGGTGATACCATGGCACCTCAGTTTAATTACAAGGAATCCATGAAGTGCTGAGCTAATATGACTTAGTGTAGCCTGGAAGAATGACTTCTATAGCCGTGGGCTTGTTTCTGGATGATGCTTAACTTTTGTATATAGGAGGGTGCCATTGTAAGAGTACTTTTCCGGATAGAAACACGAACTGAATTGCATTTAGACTGTTCAGTTATGGTCAGAAGTTAACCAAACCCTTTAAAATTCTTTTGTCAAATTTCCTTCGTCTAGATATTCGTATTTCCTTGATGGTCTTCAAGAAAACTCCAGTGCTGAAAGACTGGGAATTACGAGTTTTCTTTCCCGCTTCATTTGGAATCAGCCGAAACCGGCCATCTTCGTCGCCTACTTTTGTCGGGATTTTCCAGACATTTTATACCTTATATGCTGCCCCCCTCACTTGAAAAGAAAGGTGATGGATGAGCTTGAAGACAAGGGCATAACGCCATATGACGGAGCTTCGAAGAAAAATATGATACCAGGGGAGGACAAGGCATTCGTATCAGTATCAGAAGGAATACGCCCATACAAAAAGAAGGACATTGGCCAAGTCTTTCTCAAGTAAGTCCACATTTACATCACCCATTGTGGCTCAAACAAACGTGATTCACAGAACTGCTTGGAACTCGAATAACTATGGAAATCGGTGGTTTAGCGTCGTGATAGCTTCGGTAATGGGTCAACTGTACCTTTTTAAAAACAATGCGAAGTTTAGGTGCATTGTAATGTATGCTACATTGCAATAAAGAGTCACATGGCTTCTCGACATAAATACCTCTTATTAGCCGAGTTTTCGGTTCGTACTGTACATTACCGACCGAGTTTTTTCGTGCGCGGGTCATAAATCGATTGAACAAAAACGAGGATTCGTAATGTACAATACGGACCAAAAGACACGAAGCTATATAAATGAGATGTTTATTATATTGCCTCCTGTTTGGGGGAACAGAAAAAAAGTGCAGGACAAACGATTTGACAGTCATTTGGCAGGCGTTAGAAAATGAAAGTTTTAATTGGCTAACGAAAACAATAGCTCTTGAAAGTAAAATCAAAATGCAATTGCGCCATGTTGAAATAGTTTATTCGGTCAAAACTATGAGCACTCTAAGTATTCGCTCGCCAATGTGGTGCTGGAGTCTTTTGAAAACTGGACATTGTGTCTGGCTCGAAATCACTTCCACCTTTCTTTCTTTGTTCTTTGAAAAAACACTGTATTTATGGGAAGCTAATCAAGATGATCAGGTGCACGTATTTTTGTTATCATATTTATCGAAGGAATCTTTCGTTTTCTGTTAGACGAAGCGTCTCGAATCTCTGCCAGTCGATTTTCGTCTTCTTAACTGTGTAATGCGATAAAATTTTCAAGTAACTCACTAGAATCCCCTTCTTCGATAGGATTACGATTCAGTTTCTTCATCGGCTTCCTTCACAAATAAACACAGGTCAAAACGTTGAAGGACGAAGTCAAACGGATTCAAGTCCTCGAGCTTGACAGACGTCTTATAATAACTTTCTTTAAACCTGAAAGTTTGGTCCGTATAGCAACTTACGTACCGCAAATTGACCAATCGCAAATAAACACAAATAAACACAGGTCAAAACAACGGCTTGGAAACTAAAATTTGATAGCATTTTGTTTTGAAGAAGGGTATGGGCATGATTTTCAGGTGAACATGCCTAGCGAGCGTAAAAATCGCATCTAGTCTGAGGATTAATGAGAGAGGGAAAATTTTATATATTTAGGCATGACAAAATTCAAGGGAACATTGGTACTTAGAAATAACATCTCATAGGCATGGAAAAAATGGGTTCATGCCCTCGCAGCCCAAAATTGACCCAGCTAAACTTAGGTCCCAGATCTCTCGCCGGGTTAATAATTCATTCCCAGTTTTAGCTCCTCTGGTTTGGCATGCCGGGCATGCCGATGGTGAAGCCAGTTGGTTTGGCATGCCCGGCATGCCAGGCAAGAAATTGGCATGCCCAGCGAGACTGATTTTGATGTTCGCTTCAGCATCATATCCTGAGAATCACATATAATCGCCAAATATATCTTAGGGAGCTTGAAGTTACAGGTTTCATGCCTGGCAATAAATGCAGATTATAACAAAAAAAGTCATGTTTGTCACAATGTGTGTCACGGGATCGACTGGCAAAACTGAAGACAGAAGCCTGGATTTATAAATAAAAAGCACAACAAAACAACATTATTCATACATAAAATAGAATACTTAACTTGCAATCAAAGATTAATCCTTTTATTTCAAACCGATACTGACATTTCTGGGTCCACATTTAAATTTGATCGCGGAAAAGCGTCTTAAACAATAAGATAACAAATCTTCTCAGTATAAACTTATCCATGCTTAAGTTTTATCGTGTCGGAATGTTTCCCGGTCAACAGCATTAAAAGACTGGTGAAAATGAAGCTTACCAGGTCGTTCAAGTCAGTACGAGAGTACGACGTTAATACTGCAAAGACGTTCTGATTTGGTGAATTTGGACTGCCTTCTCAGAGAGATTTTGCTTAGTTTTTCAGTGCGCTCCTTGTCGGCTATGCGAATCTCGCAAACTGTTTTACTCCTTGCTGACGATAGTCCTTTGAGCAACGTCATCTGCGTCATCCGAAGATACCCCGAGCACGCACGAAATCGGCCGAATTTCCGCAGAAGTGTTTTCGCGGATGACGAGGAATCTAGTTTGTTGTAGCGTGGCAGTTGTGGCGTCACGATGTCGTCATGTCTCTTCGCACTTGTTTGTCTTTTTTTTCTGCGGTGCATGGTTGAGATGTTGGTGAATGCTGGACAAGAAATGGATTCTGCGAGAGACTGTAAGTACAAATTTAGTATTAATTTGGTAAAGAAAAAGCCTGAATACCGAACAAATCCCGTGAATTATCCTTTTGGCATTCAGTTTATCTTGCTGTTGAGCATGCCTAAGAACTCCGGCATAAGTGGTTGTCAACTCGTTCACTTCGGATTGTTTCTGTTTGTATGTCTTGTAATCTTCTTCTGCTGCTAAGAAGACTAGAGAAAACTTCAAAAATATAGAAACCAAAGCTAAAAAAAGTCAGATCTAATTTTATACCTCGAGTATAATTATTTTTGGCACCTACGGTCATATTTTTTCACTGTACTGGTAAAGTTACTTATTTTTGCTGCATAGTTTGACTGTTGTTTGAAAGACAATCAAACGGATATTACAATCACTTTTGGAGACAAAATAAAATATCCGTAAATCAAATGCCAAGATCAGATTTGGATTTCGCTTTAAAAAAATGAACATGCTGCAGGTGTCAATGCAAAGTTGTAAACAACTCAATATAAGCAGTCTGTGAATGTGTGTTTAGGTCCACAAAACTAATTTTTCTTTTGGACATCTCATCCAAGCAAAGTCTTAAGGCTTACATTGCTTGTCTACGAGTGTACTACAAAAAGCTTTGCTACAGTAAGCCTCTGAGAGGCGATTCTGGTAAATTTATAGGACGCTAAAATGCAAATAATTCTAAGCTTAAACAACCTGGCTGCGGGTCCGACTTTTGAATTACAAAATGTTCACGTTTGCCGGCTCTACTTTAAATGAACATGGTTTTTGAAATGATTTTGTACTATTTTAACCCGAAAATTATGATTGGGTCATAAAGCTTTTAAAACGGACGAAAACTAAGCTAATAAACATGTTCAATGTAAAAAACTAAGATTTAGTCGCTTTTTCAACTTTGCTTTGTGGGCCGAAAAATTTACCTTTACGCAAAAACAAAAGCAAACATTGAGGCTTTTATTCGACATATTTTCTGAGAATTTTATCTGATCAATTTAATGTCACTGGCATTGTTTTCGTAAAGGAATTTTCCTAATTATATGAGCTTTTAATTTAATAATTTTGATACTCTATATACTTCTCATTTGATAGCTTCACTTTTTTATCCACCGATTGAGAAACAAATTCGCTCTCGTTAAATCCTATTTTATGACCTATTTATTAGAACTCTAGGTAACATACGAAATGATGTAACCGGTCAGGCTTTAACCTTTGGTCTTAATTTATTTTTTCTTCGCAACCCCTAATCAGTTGACGGGCTGCGAGAGAATATCGCCACAAAAAGATGCGAAAAAGTTTTCGCTGAGTTTCCTTTACATATTCCGGCTTTATATGGGTCTACACCTTACCTACTTAAAAATGAAACTATTGTTCAATTAAGTGTCAGTCAAACTCGGTATAATCTTGACTTGCAAATCCAAATGCAAAGGTTTATTTCGCAGTAGAAGAGCGTGTAAACATCATGAACAACGCTATGTAAATTGGCAAATGTGAAACCACGTTTCTTTCACTTTATTTACCATGCATTTAGCTCAATTGCACACTCTTGTGAAATTAGCCTCAGACAATTAGTTGCGACCTTTAACAGACTCAACAAGCCAGTATGAAAATATCTTAAGAGAAGCTGAGCTCTACATGTTCTATTTCTTTTTTTTTATTTTGCCCTTTCATGTGTTAACATTCCATTTCTTTTTTGTTACAGGTAACTTCCAGACATGACGAGGAGATAATTACTTTTCTAGAGAGCAATTCTTTGATATTGTCAGTTATTACTGACTTACTTTGAGTTAAAAACAAAGAACACAGACACTGGTAATGACACAAAAACATTAATCCCTGGCAAGCCTACAAAACAAGAAAGAGGAACTCAGACTCCTTATCAAAATGTGAAACAAGACAAAAACAGCTTTTCTAACGTAGGGAAAAATGCGTTAGAGAGATTTGTAATTGCAACGTTATATTCAAGCACACTGCATTGTCAAACATCATAATTTACTGAATAATGAACAGTGATTTTGGGGCTTAGCTCAGTTTGTAATGAACTTTGAAAGATATTCTATAACCTTGTATTTTTAAAAGCTTTCATGGAACATAGATGCATTTTATTATACAATGAAAATAGTCTCTGTCTCTCTTTTTACAGATTTCAGTCAATTCCATTTTATTCGCAATATGAAATGGGAATCCTATTAAAGACTCATTAAAATGGGTGAGGAGTTTTCACAATCCCCCAACAGGTCATCTCCACGATGACGCTGTTTTATTACTACGGCAGAATCCCTCAGGGTTTTACTTTCTTGTGAAAATTAGAGCTTTTGTTATTTAAACTTCGCTGGGACAACCAAATCTATGAAAATGAAAGGAATAGCAATGACGTCATCGTGTAACCGTACATCAAAAGATAAGAAATGTGATCTGTTTAGTTTTTTTTTTTAGCCAGGCTTAAAATATCTGTAGATTCAAGGAATTATAACCTTTGCGTCGAGAGCATGCCAGAGAATTTAGCATGCCGGGCATGTCAGAAAATTTGGCATGCCCGGCATGCCGGAGATTTTGCTGGGTATGAATTACTTATTACTAGAACCTAGGCTTCTCGCGGCCTAAGTGAGAAGGTCACAGAACCTCAAAGTATGCTTACAGGGCATGCGAAATTCTGTTGCATGCCAATTTCAATGCAAAACCACTCTGGGGCCGATAGGCATGGGAAAAATCCTTGCATGCTAATCAACATTGAAAACGTAGCAGAAA